TGGAAGCTGTGAGTATCTACATATATTTTTGTACTTCCTGTAGTATTGAAAGCTTTTAATCCGTTTTACTGATCCCTCCTGTTTCCTGTCCAATTCTTCCTTGCAGGGTATGATTGCACTTCGCAGGGGGGCCACAGAGTTGACTCATGAGGATTACATGGAGGGAATCTTAGAAGTGCAAGCCAAGAAAAAGGCCAATTTGCAATATTATGCGTAGACTATGGGAACAGAAATCGTGTTGTGCTCGGACTGTTCAGTTTATGTTACTGGAAGAAATAAACAAGACCTCTTTAACTGTATAATGCACTGTCGAAGTGAAGTCATTATCTCCATATTAAGTACATTAACATGATCATCAGTATATTTGTTAACCAAACATTGTTTTGTACAGCTCATAGAGACCCAATGCCATTTTATGAGTTTTTCTGAATGTACAATGTTTACATCCTCACAAAAAAATGTGTTCACTGTGAGCTGAAATGCAGTTTGGGTCTGTTTTTTTTTTTTTTTTTAGAATAGCGAAACTATATGATTCCATTGACAGGCCCCTGGGAGATTAGAATTCATCATTCTTGCCTTACCGTTGCTGAGACACCTGCTATTTGAGCATTTTTTTTTCAGAACCTCAGTAACCTTCTTCATTAAATAGAAATAAATGTGCTCTAGAGCAGTCTAAGAAAAAATACTATTTAAAATCTGTGTAAAAATATGGAACATGACATACACCGGAAGTAATGTTACAAACACTTTAAAGGTTTTGACAGCACTTGAAACCGCAGTTTGCCTGCACTGTTTATTTCTGGAGATTTGTTTTAAGTTTGAAAAATAGTCTGATGTGCATTGATATCTTTTGATGTGTCAGGTAGGGCAAAGATCCTCAGGGTAAATTAGATGTTGCATAGAATGTGATGGTTCCTCCCCATTGTCTAAAGCAGCAGTGCTCATTATTGTTTCCCTCATGTCCATGTATGGTTTAAATTGTAAATAAAGAGACTGTCTAGCGTGCTTCCACAGTAAGACGTCAAACCAGTTTTGAACATTTTGAAATTCTCTTAATGGGACACTATAGTCACCCAGACCACTTCAGCTTAATGAAGTGGTCTGGGTGCCAGGTCCCTCTAGGGTTAACCCTGGCTGCTATGTTTACATTTGGGGTTAAGCCAGCCTCTAGTGGCTGTCTTCCGGACAGCCACTAGAGGCGCATCTGCGACACTGGAGGCATATTATGCCTCCATCACGCAGAGCGTCCATAGGAAAGCATAGAAAAATGTTTTCCTATGGACACTTTGAATGCGTGTGCGGCACTGCCATGCATGCGCGTTACCCTCCGCTGACATCGGTGGGGGAGGAGAGATAAGGGAGCCTGGCGGTGGAAGAAGGTGAGTAACTGAAGGGGTTTTAACCACGGGAGTAGCAGGGTACTATAGTTTTAAGATTTGTTTTCCTGACACTATAGTGATCCTTTAACAAATTAAATTGATGAAACTATTTAGGTCCTTTCCCTCTTTGAAACATTGATATTAGTTTGTAATTAAGAGATTCTGCCCTTATTAACTACATTTTACCGTACCATAGACTATTTTAACAATGTTATCTTTCTCCATCCCCCACTCACCCATTTGTAATTTAACATCTTAAACACTCCTGACAACGGTAGAATGTTAGGAATACAATCCTGTATTTATAACACTAGTGTCCCTTTGCCCCAGAGCAGTTAATAGGTTAAAACCCCTTTAAACACTTACCTATCTGCATTGGCTCCTCCAACATCTTCGCTGAAGGGGAACCCAAGGTGCGTACGCTGCATTTGCATTAGGCCTTCCCCATAGGAAAACATTGAATCCATGCTTTCCTATGGGGGATTTGAAGATATTGGAAGTCTTCATGAATAGCGCAAGGACGTCCAGCGTCGTTTCAGAGTTAAACTCCATGTAAATGCAGGAGGTGCCTCTAGAGGCAGTCTTAACTCTTCAATATAAGCATTGCAGTTTTTCTAAACGGTTTTAGATTGCAGGGTTAAGGGGACAGGGACACTGCACCCACACTATTTCAATGAGATGAAGTGGTCGGGGTGCTTAAAGTGTCAAACCCCCTCCCATCAATTACATTACACTGTATATCTTTTTCACTGTTTTCTGACTAGGGAGCCTTAAGTTAAGAGGGTGCCCTAGGCTCTTCAGTTTTGATTTAATTTACCCAACTGTGCAGAGATTTCCATCTCTCCTTATGCGTAAAGATTAACCGACTGAACTGTGCCTTTAACAGGTGCATGTGTGCCAATGAAACATCTGTGTTTTGAGGATTGACATTGAAAATGCTGCGTTGTTGTGCTCAGACTCCATATTTTTTATTTATATATATATTTTTTTTTTAGTAAATCTGTTAAAATGCAGCTGTTCAAATGTCGAATTTGTATGCTCTTTCCTTTCTTTTGGGTTGAGCATCTCTGAATGCACTTTTCAGGTGGAGTTAATTAAGGGAGTATTTTTTTTTTTTTTTTTTTAAATTTCCACCTACATAAAAGTAGGAGCTTGAGCCCACAGGATTTAGAACACCATTAAAAGTGGACAACAGAGACAAGCTGTCAAATCTGCAGGGCAAAAGCTTGTGTTATAAGATGGTTGCTGCAGGAGCATTGAGTGTCTTTTGATCGATTGTGGTCGCAGTTCTGGCCTAAAGTGTATAGACTGGCAAAGAGCCATGCAATAGCACTTACCTGCTGAACAAGCTCTCGACCCGAGGCCTACTCGGATTTTCAATGCTGCAGTACTTAAAGCAAGGAGGCAGGTAAGGAAGACATGGTAGCACATCAGCTCTGGACCCGGGTCGGAGAACGGTCATCACCCACCTGGGCCTCAGTCCACAGAGAAAAGGCAGTGTTTATATTACTGATTAGAGACAATGACAGTCATTCAGACAGCCACTAAAGGTGCTTCCTGGCTCACTGCTGCACAGCATGCATGGAGGCACTGAACTTTCCCCATAGAGATCCTTGGATTGGCTGAGATCATCATTGTATTCCTGACCTTAGTGTTCTTTTAAAAAAGAGTTCAGGAAAATAGGTAGCAAAGTTATGATGAGGACTTCCAAGGTGGTATGTTCTGAGATATTGCATTCGACATGTGTGCAAAGCTGCAGGAGATGAGAGGTCAATGTGTGGCTGAAGTCTTTGTGTAGGAAGGAGGGCTTGGGGTTTTTAGAGCACTGGCCAGATTTTGCACTTGGGTATATCTTTATACCTGTGATGGATTGCAGTCTTTTGTGCTGGTGTGAGACTGGCTAGAAGTTTGGAGAAGTCTTTAACCCCTTAAGGACACGTGACATGTCATGTTTCTGTTTTATTCCAGAAGTTTGGTCCTTAAGGGGTTAAACTAGGGCGATTTCTCGGGCTCTGTACATCTGATAGCTCTGTGGGCCTCAGTTCACCATTTACTAAGTCTCGACTAGTGTTTGGGTGATGTCAGCCTTCTACAAGCGACTGTAATCACTGGCTAGCAGCTATAATCTCTCTAGGGGGCTGGGCACAAGTGACGCTGAAGATGCCTCTCCTGGGAAAGCAGCCCCTGGAAGAGTTGGTCATGGAACACCAGCGCCTGGTCAGGCCAGAACTTTGGCTGGATGAGGCATACCGGGCGTTAAAGTGGCACTTGGTCCAGGACGAGGATGGCTGACTGTGGACAGCACAAGAATAAAATGTTTGTGACTGGAACAAGCATCTCAGTAATATTAGCCCCAGTATGGGCAAGGCTTAGAAGTATGACTCCCTGCCCCAACAATCTTCCCTAAGGATCTCAATAACCCACTCCAGTTATGACAACAAGTGTAGGCGGAACAAAGAAAAGCTCAATAAGCAGGATACTTCATGCTGGCATGTGGTCTTTGGGGACTGGGCTGAGAAAGTGACAAAATAGAATTTAAATTTCATTAAAATATAATAAGAAGTATTCAGTTCTTCCCAAAACTCCAATTTGTGGCAAACTGAAATCTGGTGAAATTAAGGCTAAAATAGCTGACCTGGAAAAATGTTCAATAGCTGCCATAATCAAGCCATTTGTTCTGAAAAATTTGTAGTATTTACTGTGATTTCTTCCTGTTCATACCTTATTATTTGGTTAATTTTATTTGGTTAGTGTTTTTTCTTTACACTCTACTGTATATATCTCTATCAGTGCTTGTTTGTCTGTGTTTCTTTCCCCCTTAGTGCAGGCTACTTGTCCCTTCCCTGGGACAATCCCCTATCCTGCACTGCCGTCCGTTTTTCTTCCTTTCTCCACAGTGTAGGGGACGGCCCCCCGAGGTGCCACCCGCACCCCCCACCCCCCCCCGGCTCATAACGAGCAATTTAGCCGCTCAACGATTTGCGGCCATCAACTTAACAGCCACCCAGACTGCTTGCGCATGCACGGTTCTCTCCCGCGCATCGCAGCTGCCATTTTGGGGTTGGCATATTTGCCGCGTTTTTACCTGTCACTTGCGCCACTCGTTTTGGGAGGGGCGCAAGCTGATTGGTTAATAGAGGTGTTGGGCAGCTTACCAGTGTCCCCCAGGAGTCATTCCTGAGGGAACACTCAATAAGCTGCCATATTATATGTGCCTCATTAATGTGTCCTTGCCCTAAAGTGCTTTAACACTATTCCAAGTGATTTTTTTTCACCACTTACAGCTAACATCTGGGTCATAACCCACTGTAAGGGTATTTGTTTGTCCTGTGCCATTTTCCATTAGTCCAATACTGCTAAGTGCTTTCCCCCAGTTCTCCCTTTGTAGTGCATCCTGACCAGTATGCAGTCCCCTGCTGACAACCAAGCTATTGCCCCCCCAACCTCTGCAAAACCTAGCAGTCATAATACAACAGCCCTGCCTATAGGCATTGCGGCCATTGGGAGCGGGGAGGAAGCATCCCAGGACCACGCAAACTCAGAGGAGTTCCAGGCACTCCTGGATGCTACAATGAGCAGTGACACAGGCCATTGTTAATGCCATGGGAGCAATGTCTGACACCCTGTCAAACACTATCTCCTCCGCTATCATAGCATTTAGCAGAACCCCCAACTCAGCCACTATAACCTCTGATAGTAAGCCAATGGTCCCTAACAGCCGCAAGGCTACATGCAAATCGCACCATCTAACAGGTGCTGCCTCCAAAACCAGTGTGACGGACAGGTTGCTCCCTGTTGAAACTGAGGACATGGTGCTCTCACGTAAAAGAGCCCCCCCGCCAGGCAAAAGCGGTGCGGAATTGGAAGAGGGCAAAAGCCCTACCTGATTCTTCGGACTCAGAGGAGGTGTCAGATGGGTCTGATGCCATCGACCCGTTGACTCAGACAACTTGTCCCCTGAACACAGCGAGACTGCACTCCCAGCAATAGACTCTGATCAAGAGGCTGACGAATCCGCAGTTTTAGATCCCCAAGGGGAACCCCTCTTTGATCCAGATACCCTGCACAATCCACGCTCACCGGACTGGTACCCCATAATTCACGTGGCCATCTACATAGTGACAAGGGTAAGTAAACCCCTTAATAAGGCCACAATGAGTAAGCTAAGGACGGAATGCCCATGCCTCACGGTCCCGGATATGGCCTACGTAACCCGAGGTGGACCCCAAGATCGCCCAGTTCCTGGGCAAGTCGGGATGAAAGCCAAAAAGGGACTAGACCGCTCAACGCCTTTGTCACATACCATCACTTCAAGATGAAAGGGATACACTGCCTTCGGGACCTCCTCAGACTGGGAGACTGGATGGTAAAACTGGACCTCCAGGATGCATACCTCACGATAACGATTGCAGAGGAATGCCACCACTTACTTCAATTCCAATGGGAAAAGACGATGTGGTGTTTCCAATGCCTCCCTTTGGACCTGTCCTCAGCCCCGTGGTGCTTCACCAAACTGCTGAAACCGGTAGTCGTCCTTCTCCGCATCAGAGGTGTACGTATGATCATATACCTCGACGACATGCTGATCATGGCTCACAACACCCATCTACTGAACCAACATCTATCCTGGGCGTTGACCCTGCTGCAAAACCTGGGTTTCCTAATCAACTGGGACAAGTCAATGCTGCCACCTTCCCAATCAATAGAGTTTCTGGGCTTCAATATAGATGCAATTCACGGAACGCTCAGTCTACATACCACAAAGGTAAAACTCATCAAGAAGGAAATCTGACGGACTTTGTCACGACCAATCCTGACCTTACGACAACTAGCCAGGATAATTGGCCTGCTCTCCGCTTCCATACAAGCGATTTTCCCAGGACCTCTCCACTACAGAGCCCTGCAGCAGCTCAAAGCCACTCACCTACGTTTGGGTCAATCTTACTCAGATTCTGTGCCACTAGACTGCTCAGCAAAAGAGGAACTAGCATGGTGGCTTCAACACACGGAAGCATGGAATGGCAAGGCGATCTTTGGAACCACCCTGGATCTCATCATAGAATCCGACGCGAGCAGACTCGGATGGGACGCTCGTTGTGGTCCCACCTATACAGGTGGAAAATGGTCCTCAAAAGAAAAGGAACTCCACATCAACAGTCTGGAACTCTTAGCTGGGTCATTTGCCCTCCGAAGCCTCCTCAGACACACGACCAATTGTTCCATACTTCTTCGTATGGACTATATTTCGGCCGTTCGCTACATCAACCACTTGGGTGGCACGAGATCGTCAATGCTCACAGACCTAGCAAAATAATTTTGGCACTTCTGTCTGAGCCGCAACATATCAGTACAGGCAGAATACCTTCCGGGACTCTCCAACACCGTAGCAGATTGGAACTGGCGACTAAATCACATGATATTCCAGAAACTCCAGCAACTCGGGGGCCCGATGCACATCGACCTCTTTGCCTCCCGGCTGAACGCTCAACTTCCCTCATTCTTCAGCTGGAGACCGGACCCAGACGCCATGGCAGTGGACGCCTTCCTACAACACTGGCCGAGCAACCGACTATATGCTTTCCCCCCGTTCTCACTCGTAGCACAAACTCTCCTACATCTGCAACTCTCCCGAACAATCACACCATAAATGTGTATAGATCAGCGATTTCAGCTGCCCACAACGGATGGGAAGGTTTCCCGGCTGGGAAACACTTTTTGGTCTGTCGTCTTCTACGAGGCATAAAATTTGCACGTCCTGCTCAACCCCGCTACACGGCCTTATGGGATGTTAATATGGTCCTTCGTTTACTGTAAGACTGGCCTCCAAACACAGATCTCACACTCAAACAAGTGTCTGCAAAATTAGCTATGCTCCTGTGCTTAATCTCCTGCAAAAGGGTGTCCGACGTTAGAGCCCTGGATATCGATGCACGGTCCTTCACCCCGCAAGGTGTCCTGTGTACTATTACCAGACGTACGAAAGCGAAAATCACGTCACTCCTTTCCTCACAATGCTAACCTCTGCCCGGTGGCATGCCTCCAGGAATACGAAAGGCGGACACAGGCATTCCAGAACCCAACAACACACGACCTGTTCTTGGTGGTGAGAAAACCTCATCACCCAATTTCCACAGTAACTCTGGCATGCTGGGTAAAATGGATAATGTCAGCTGCTAACATCGACACATCAGTTTACGGAGCTCACTCCACGAGAGGCGCTATGGCCAGGGCCGGACTGGGGATACAAAGCAGCCCTGGAAAAAAAAAAATCTATGCCAGTCCCATAAGTCATTGCGCCATATATTGTCGCATGTAATATGTAAGGCTATTTCTTGCCACCCAGATGATATAATTGTATATTGCTTTTTCTAATATACAATATTGGTCCTTTCAGAGTAAAACGTTTAATTATACCGTAAGCATACTCACATGCAGACACAGACAATCTCACTGACACTCATTGATACACAGCCTCATAGACAAACAATCTAACTGATATACATAAGCTCACTCACTAACAGGCACACACACACACAGCTTAATGTAGTGGTTCTGGTGTCTACAGCCTGTCCCTGCAGGCTTTTCAAGGTAAACACTGACTTTTCAGAGAAAAGGCAGTGTTTACATTGCTTCCTATTGACACCTCTAGTGACAGACACTCAGATGGTCACTAGAGGCGCTTCCTGTGTCAGTGCGATTGGCTGAGATCATCAAGATTGATGATCTCAGTCATAGAGGCAGGGCCAGTCGAGGGGAGACCAGTACGACGTTGGGAAAAAAAAAAAAGGTGTGTAAAAACACTATTTTAAAAAAACACACACATACACCACGACAGACACACACACCCCATGACACATACATATACCATGACAGACACACACATACCACAGACCAAGACAGACACACACCATGATACAGACACACCGTGACACAGACCAAGACAGACACACCCACCATGACACGGACAGACACACACACATCATGATACAGACACACCATGACACGGACAGACAGACACACACACCATGACACAGACAGATACAGACACACCGTGACATAGACACACACACACACACCATGACACAGACACACACACTCCCACTGACAGACTGACATACATACTTGTAGCTACCTGTGGGTGGGCAGACTGATAGATGTTCTGGCGGCCCCAGTGAGAGCTTGGATGGCGGCCGCAAGGGGGAGCTCTTCTGGCGGCCACAGGGAGCTGGCTGTTCTGTCTCTGCTCCCCAGCACGCAGCTTAATGAGACCGGGGCCGGAATATGACGTCATATTCCGGCCCCGGTCTAATTAAGTAGCGTGCGGGGGAGCAGAGACAGAACAGCCAGCTCCCCATGCGGCCGCCATCCAAGCTCTCCCTGCGGCCGCAGGTCACCCAAATGTCTCCCCAGCCCCAGGTGCCGACGGCCCACCGGGAAATTTCCCGGTATCCCAGTGGGCCAGTCCGGCCCTGGCTATGGCCTCTAAGGCATTCTCCATTGGCTGTAAATTCGAAGACCTTCTCCGCACAGCTGATTGGTCCCGGGAATCGACATTCAAAGAATACTACTTCCGGCCAACAGAACATTTCTCATCTATGTTTATATCACAGCTTTAAACTAGCCTAATATGAGCCTCCGTGTCCTTTAATAAAATTACCACATTTTACTAATTACATGACGTAAAGTCATGATTTTATAAAGGACACAGAGGCGAGTATTAGTCCGCCCAATGAAAGGTAAGTCGTACATGTTATTTTTCCCACCCAATTACAGATAAACAGTTAGGAGCGAGTTAGATGTTCAAGTGATGTACTATATACTAATAATGATTTTGTTTAGATTTTTGTTGGAGTTAAGCTATAACGCTTCTTTAAAGACTTGCACAGTTTATATGTATCACATCGATATTTGAATATATTTTACCACATATCTCTCGGTCTCCAACAGCATAATCCTTTAATGGAATATTCGGGATCACCCTCTCCTTCCTATCTATACCGAAACAGACTCACTGGAACCCTCTACCTGAAACAGTTCAAGTTAATCGTTTTACCCGTTGATATGCTCAGCTTCGGCGTCAGCTAGAAAGAGGAAGTGGATTAGGTCACATGAGGGGACATAGGACTGATCCCATTGGTTAATATGTTTGGAATGGTATATGGTTAACCCTTAAGGGTATTTTGTGTTTTTTTTCTTGTTATTGCTATATTAAAATATCAAGATCCTTTATTTGCTGCTGAGGAATAAAGAAAGAGATAAATAGAGCCTAACACTTGCCTCCGTATCCTTTATAAAATCATGACTTTACGTTATGTAATTATTAAAATCTGGTAATTCTCCTGTTAAATTCCAGTGAGCAAAGCTTTGTTTTTTTTGTCACTGATCAATTAATTTTAGCCAATCTAAAACGGAATTGCAAAATATATGATATGGAAATCCTCTCCACCTCAGCTATTTGTGTCTAAATTGTACAATTCAATTTTCATTTTTTTTCTTTCTAAAGTTCTGTGTTTAGCGAATGAATCCCAATAAATTATCTATTTTATTAGATATTTATTTTTTTCCTGAATATTGTTCATGTCTAGGTCGCATTTTATTTTTCAATTGTCCCTCCCAAATGTTTGAACATTTTTTGAGGGAGACAATTAAGACTTGTGCACAAACGGTCAAACAAATTGCCATTGTCAGCAAATCACGAACGAATTGTTTTGTTTGTCCAGTGATTAAAAGGCATTTGATTCGTTCAGCACAGCAAAACGGGATTTGTGCACAAGTCTAGAATTCCTACCCATTCATTTATTTACATCTTATGGATAGAAACGTATCCATCCTGGAAACTTTATAAAGGGATTAAGGAGAGAGAATGTATGGGAAATGGATACCCATGCCTAAATTTGACCCATTTATTTTTCTATGCATTGATTAGACAGTGCAAATTATTAAAAGAAAATATTAAAAAAAAAAGGTACAGTTGATGTTCTTGCAAAGCTGCTGTCTCTCTGCAGGATTGTAGCGAGCTCTCACCAGACCAGGAGCTGCTGCTTATACATTCTACAGAATTGCCGAGATTTATCTGATAAGCAGGGATTTAAAAGGGTGATGTCACTTCCCAGGATTTTAAACATAATTTTTTACTTATCTCCAAATTTCGACAAATGTGCATTTGTGAGGTTTGAAAAATTTAATTCAATTTAGAATCCTCACCTCTTTATCCTGCAACTGGGTGCCTCCATCTTAGCTCCCATCGTAGCTCAATTATTGTTTTATGCTCTGTCCGTTGCACCTGGCAGTCCGCAAAGTAACGAAATACAGAGAAGAAAAGAAACAATGTTTCCTTTTCTCCTTTGCAAGGTTTGCCCTGCATTTTCATTTTCCGAGTTGGTTTACGACACGATGTGCCAAATCTTTAATATAAATTACTCTTGTGAAAAAAGGTTAAAGCAAGTTGTAGGTGATTTTAAAAGTTTTATTCAATGGTGTGAATTCCAGAGCAGTGACAGACCCCATATAAGGGTGTTACAAAGGTTTATGGTTGTTGTGGTTAAACTGAAAGCCTTTTTTGTTAACTGTAGAGATCTGATGAACGAAACCTTCCGTAAAGTGACATCCGGCAAAAATAGAAACACTGTGTAATGAAAAGGTGGGATTGGGGTGCAAAATTAACAAGTACAAATTAGCATTAAAACAAACCCAACATACATATTGGTTTCATGGGGTGTCCCTTTAAGTCATTTGAGTGAATTTCTATGCATTGAACAACAAATGCACCAGGCAGAAGTGAAATAGTTTTTCACTGACCACAGTTTCACAAATTCACTTTCCACGTAGTACAAAATCAGACTATAGGCAGTTTTCTGAAGTTAAATTTAATAAATAAATAAAAAAAACAAATGAAAGGTAAAATCGCTTTAATTCTAGAGTTCTACACATTCAGCTTTCTGTCACATTATAAGCCCTGTTACTAGGGCAGGGACAAACAGGTAAATAGATTTAACTGGGCCACATATACCACCACATTCAATATCCCGCTTGTCCATGATGACTGCTGTGATCATGCCCCTTGAGACACAAAGAGGTCAGTCTCAGTCAGTCAGTATGGTTTATTTCACCCCTAGTCATGGATCTAAACATTTCATTGGCACCCGTTTCCCAGTGGACATTACTGTGCCTGAAATGGATACAAACCAGCACTTTTAATATGTTCTGCAAATCCATCCCCTGCCCCTAAAATAAATAAATTCAAATAATTTAAAAAATCATGTGCTTTTATAAGATGTGATGAAACCACATGTACAACGACATCACCTTCAAAAAAAGGTTCTCTCTAACCACAAAATTCCCTCTTCCCACCCGTACGTCACAAACTCCCATCCCTCAAGGGACCATGGCCACATACAGCTGGTGGAACCCACATTAACGACCTTGCTGATCTTTGAAGGACATCTGGTGGAGCCTGAGCTTGGGTAGGCTTCTACTGCCTACTATGAGGCACTGCAGGAGGTTGGACTGGGTCTAATGATGACCTGACTCCTGCTGTGTGCCAAGGCACTAAACTCAGGGAGGGGAGGGGAGGGGAGAGTGTAGAGTTGACACTGATTTTTTTTCTTTTTCTGAAGAGGGAATTGTATAATGATGTGTAAGGCGGTTTTTTAGACTGTATTAAAACATGTAAAAATCAGTTACCTGCCTTTCTATATATATATATATATATTTATATAATATGTATACAAAATTCTCAAATACTGAACCATTGTGCCAATGACTGGCTGCAGCTGCACACCCATCAGTCTTTCTTTGTAAAACAAGCTTAGAAGCTTGTCTAGCAGACCAACATGGGACAACTTTTGGAGAAAATTGTGTACTCCTGATTTTATTGCCTGCTTGCCCCACAATATTGGGCGTGGGCATCTCTCATCTAGGAGCTTTAAACTTAAATGTCTTCTGGAGATTGTTACAATTCCAATGGAGTTCCATAGTCACTCCTGGCCAAGCATCATGTGCCATCGGTACTGTTGCACAAGTCACCTGGCTAACACGAGGTTCCAACTTCTGCAATTTTTTTTTTCACAAGACCAAACAAACAGGCTGAACAGAACAACTTCCTCAACAGGACACGAGTGCCTCAGTCTGGTGAGTGTTTATTTTAATTTGCCCCCTCTTGGGATTGATGGGGTGGTCAACTTCTTTTCTTCTCCCATAGATCACACTGCCCCATTCTCTTGTCGAGGTTTGTGTACAGCAGACTGGGAAGCACTGAGCGATGGGGCCAGAGTGCAAAGAAACCCAGACAGAAGGGTCAGTCCCAGGCCTCCCCAAGCACAAAACATGGACCACCCGTAGCCATGGCTGATGTCTTCAGGTAATCCATATACGGAGCGGGGGTAGCGAGAAAGCTCAAAATTTATTCCTGCTACACAAGTGCACAGGGAGATAATGCAGCAAGTCCCTGAAAAGAAAAAAAAGAGAAGAGAATATCAGTATTTAGAAACTAATGCATCTTCAAAAGAACTAAAAAACCTTTATAAAGAAATGCCCAGCCTCATCTACAGTGAGGGAAAAAAGTATTCGATCCCCTGCTGCTTTTGAACGTTTGCCCACTGACAAAGAAATGATCAGTCTATAATTTTAATGGTAGGTGTATTTTAACAGTGAGAGACAGAATAACAAAAACAAAATCCAGAAAAACACATGTCAAAAAAGTTATAAATTGATTTGCGTGTCAATGAGTGAAATAAGTATTTGACCCCTGTGACTTAGTACTTGGTGGCATAACCCTTGTTGGCAATCACAGAGGTCAGATGTTTCTTGTAGTTGGCCACCAAGTTTGCACACATCTCAGGAGGGATTATGTCCCACTCCTCTTTGCAGATCCTCTCCAAGTCATTAAGGTTTCGAGGCTGACTTCACGCCCTTCATACCAGAGCTGGATTGTAGCTCTGGAAATTGTGAGTAGTACCTACTTATAATTTTTTAATATCCAAGTATATTTACATACTGCACCGTTGGATTTCTGTTTCTCTGCTTCTTTTCCATATGGTCCACTGAAATTACAAGTCTACACCCGTGACGAATCACTGCTGCTCTGCAAGAATTTTCCTTTCCATTGTGTACTCTACTATTCTGGACTATTGCTAAGTTATCTGGACTATACTATTTTATTTGTACAATATATCTACATTAAAGGCGCACCCTTTCTCTCGTTTTCTGTTCTATCTTTAACCCCTTAAGGACTGGACTGTTTTTGCGATGTTGTACATTTGCGACCAGGAATATTTTTACACTTTTGTGGTGTTTGTGTTTGGCTGTAATTTTCCGCTCTCTCATTTACTGTTCCCATACAAATTATATATTGTTTTTTTCAGGACAAAAGGGGCTTTCTTTACATACCATTATTTATATAATCTCATGTATTTTAATTTAAAAAAAATACAAAAATCTGATGAAAAATTTAAAAAAATACATGTTTTTTGACTTTTACTTGAAAAATCTTTTACTCATCTACAAAAGCGAATGAAAAAAACTGCTAAATAGATTCAAAATTTTGTCCTGAGTTTAAAAATACCTAGTGTTTACGTGCTTTTTTGCTTTTTTTTGCATGTTATAGGGCTATAGGTACAAGTAGGATATTGCGGTTTCAAAACATACATTTTTAAAATTTATCAATAGTGACATTGTAACACTATTATCTGTCATAAATCTCTGAATAACACCCCACATGTACATATTTTTTTTAAAGTAGACAACCCAGGGTATTCAATATGGGGTATGTCCAGTCTTTTTTAGTAGCCACTTAGTCGAAAAACACTGGCCAAAGTAAGCATTCATATTTGTTTGTGTGTGAAAAAAGTAAAAAACTAAATTGAACGCTAATTTTGGCCAGTGTTTGTGACCAAGTGGTTACTAAAAAAGACTGGACATACCCCATTTGCAATACCTTGGGTTGTCTTCTTTTGCAAATGGTATGCCATCATGGGGTAATTCTCATTCCTGGGCTACCATACGCTCTCAAAGGCAACGTAACCAACCTGGCCATTTTCAATGTAAAAATATTTGACCCATATATTTGACCTTGTAACTTTCAAAAATGCTATAAAACCTGTACATGGGGGGTACTGTTTTACTCAGGAGACATCGCTGAACACAAATATTAGTGTTTAAAAACTGGAAAACGTATCACAACAATTATATCATCAGTAAAAGTGCTGTTTGTGTGTGAAAAATGCAAAAAAAGTAACTTTCACTGACAATATCATCACTGTGATATGTTTTACTGTTTTGAATCACTAATATTTGTGTTCAGCGAAGTCTCCCGAGTAAAACAGTACCCCCCATGTACAGGTTTTAGGGTGTCGTAGAACGTTACAGGGTAAAATACAGTGCTAGCAAATTAAATTCTCTGGACTTTCGGCCTGGGTTGGCAGGCAGGTCCTCAAATTGCAATCAATAAAATTACTGAATTATGTAAAATATTACATAAATACGCACGTAGAATTTAAATATATATGCATATTTATATATTTGAAGTCTACGTGTATATTTATATAATTATTTATGTAATTTTGTATATGGACGTATGTATATTTCTTATTATTTTTATTTATTTTTATATACATAGATATATATACAAATTCATTCTAAGTGTATTTTGATATAAATATATATATATTAATTTTAAAATACAGTTAGAATAAAATTTCATATAGCTATAATTTTTTTTAATTTTTTATTATTATTTAAAAAAAAATGTATTTAATTTAAATTACTTATTATTTATATTTTATAATAATATATATATACAATATATATAGTTATTATATATATTATATATATACGTGTGTAATTTAATTATAAGTGTATTTTTATATTAATATAAGTACATATTAATATAAAAATACACTTAGTATGACATTATATATATGATATATAGACATATATTATATAGATATAATATATGTCTATATATCATATATACACATATATAATTATTTATTTATTTTTTATTAACATTAACTTTATTTTATTTTTTGATTTTACACTAGCAGGGAGACTGCCCGTCAGCACAGGCAGTCCCCCTGCAGGCAGACACATGGACACCCATTGTGACCATGTGATCGCTCTGTTAAGCGATCACATGGCCACAGGGGTCCTAAATCAGTGTGGGGAGACTGTCTGGGCTGCAGGCAGTCTCCCCACAACCGGAGCCACGCTGATCGCCGCCGGGGGAACGACGGCGATCAGGTAAGTAGCTCTGACTGTTAGGACGGTTCAGGACCGTCATCGGTCCTCAAGGCAAAAATGCCGATGACGGTCCTGAACCGTCCTCGGTCCTTAAGGGGTTAACTAGTTTTATAATTGTTTAGTGGAATGCAGACTACACACCTGGCAATCTCTCTGCCCCCTGATTTCACTGCTGATTAACTAAACAAGTTTATTATTCACCATTCACGGTTTGAACGCTCATAAAACAATGAGGAAAATGCTGGTATTCTGCAATTAATAATAAAATTGAGCTTTATATAAACTCACCAACACTAAGAAGTAGCCCACCCCCAAACAATTTAAATAAAATGCTGCTCTGCCTAAAGTCATGGTGCAGGAAGGAGGGCTTTGGGTTTTTGGAGCACTTGGCTGATTTTGCGCTTCAGGACAATCTTTGTAGCAGTGATGGAAGCACCTAAACAGAAGAAGGTCTGTAGTGCTGGGGGACAGGATGGCTAGACGGTTGGAGGAGATTTTAAACTAGTGGTGGGGAGGGAGGATCATAGCAATCTACATAACGGAGATAGAACTGAAGGAGATGGGATTTAGCTTAACTCAAGAGGTGTTAAGATAGGAGGAGGGACAAGCTCAGAACAGAGGAGGTATGGAATAGTAATGAAAATTCACATTAAGTACAAGGGACTCATGATGATATTAAATGCATTTTTACAAATATAAGGAGCCTAAAGAACAAAATTGGGGAACAAGAGACACTGGCATACACTAAACAATATGACATAATAGGCATAACTGAAACATGGTGGAATGAAACACATGACTGGGCAGTTAACTTAAATAAATGGTTACACATTATTCAGGAAAGATAAAAAACAAGAAGGGTGATGGGTTATGTTAGTATGTCAACCACGAGTTAAAGCCAAATCTCAAGCAAGTGGAATGTGACAAGGAAAACGTGGTAGCTTTATGGGTAGATAGATGCTTTGGTTAAATGAAAAACTATTGGTTGGAATCGGTTATAAACCACCTAATGGTAATGTTAATGGAGGGAGAACAGCTCTTAGAGCAAATTGGGAAAGCTGCACATCTGGGTAACACGTTAATTATTGGAGATTTTTTTTAACCTGGACATAAATTGGGTCAGAGGGACTGGTAGTTCAGCAATGGGAATCAGGTTTTTAAACATGTTGAATGGCACCGTACTGTCACAACTGGGACAAGCACCAACTAGAAAGGATGCTGGTCTGGATCCGGTTATGGCAAACAATGTTGCTCTTTTGACAAACATTCAAGTAGGGAACATTTGGGAAATAGTGATCACAATATGGTGTCTTATGAAATAAAACTTAAAAAATCTGGGGTATACTTAAACATATAATTTTTAAAATGCCAATTTCAATAAGATAAGGGCAGCTTTACAACATATTGACTGGCATAAACTACTTCGTGAAAAGAAAAAAAAAAAAACTTGTGGATAAACAGAATAGCTTCAAAAAAAATATTAGGAAAGTACATTTCTCAGTATGTACCACTGGGTAATAAATATAAAAAAAACTAATTGAAACCAATATGGCTTAGTGGGAAAGTAAAATAAGAAAATGGTAATTAAAGCAGACAGATAAGGAAGCCAATAAAGCATGCAAAAAGGCAATTAGAGTGGCTAAACTAGAAACTGAGAAAGTGGAAGCTAAAGAAAGCGAAACCAACCCAAACATTTTATATACACACATACATTCTAAAAAAAACAAAAACAAACACCCACCCACAAAAAATGAAAATGTAGGGAACACTGAAAACAGAGATAGGCATGTTAGGTAATGAAGACCAGGAAAATGCAGAAATTGTAAATAACTATTCTTCCTCAGTATATAATAAGGAAGGTCCTATTGCAAGAGATATGCTGCAAAAAACATGCAGAAAAATGGTGAATGGATGATTCAAGACAAGGTGATACAGTAACTAAAGAAAATTAATGTAAAGAAAGCTCCAGGGTCTGACGGTATTCACAGACGAGTACTTAATGAGCTAAGTTTGGAAATAAGTGGACCTCCGTTCTTAATCTTTTAAGATTCCTGTCTTTCAGAAATTGTACCAGAGGATTGGAGGAATGTAGATGTGGTTCCCATATTCAAAAAGGGTTCAAAATCTTTGCCTGGACATTATAGATCTGTGAGTTTAACTTCTGTGACTGGGAAAGTATTTAAAGGGTTATTAAGGGATAATATTCAGGAATTCATTGTGAAGAACATTATTATTAGCAATAATCAGCATGGTTTTATGAAACATAGGTCATATCAAACCAACCTGATTGCACTCTACGAAGAAGTGAGTATATCAGGGTATTACAGTGGAAGTGATCTACTTGGATTTTGCCATGGGTTTTGATATGATTGCTCACAATAGGTTAGTGTTCAAACTCAAAGAAATTGGTCATGATCATGGGTTCCCAACCTGTGGTACATTGTATGTGTGTGTTAATATATCTGCACTGTGAGCAGCAGGGTGAGCTTGGGGCATATACGGCAAAGGGGGAATATACGGCAGATAAAAATGTATACATTTGAAGTAATAGTAACTATATTAATAAACATTTAGCTAATATGAGGGGCATACTTCTTGAAATGGGTTGCCAGGGGGTAACTCAAGTATAAAAAAAATAAAAATAAAAAAGTTGGGAACCACTAGTCTAGATCAAAATTCACTCAAATGGGAGATGAAATGTATTGTAGAAGAATGCAAAGTTATGCACTTTGGGGTAAAGAATGAACAAACAACTTTCACCCTAAATAAGAAGTGAATTAGGGATAACAAATGAGAAGGATTTGTGAATTGTTATTGACAACATCATGCAATGTCAATCAGCAGTGGCTAAGACCAGCAAGGTATTGTCATGCATGAAAAAGGGCATTCATTCTCTGGATGAAAATATAATTTTGCCGCTTTATAAATTGCTGGTAGGACCACATACTGAATATTATGTGCAATTTTGTGTACCTGTTCTAAAGAAGGATATTATGGCACTAGAAAAAGTGCAAAGGCGGGCTACACAATAAAAAGGATCCAGACAAGCGTCCTTTCTCGTTGGTGCTTGTACCAGTACGGTGCCATTCTACATGTTTAAAAACCTGATTCCCCTTGCTGAACTACTAGTCTCTTTGTCCCAATTTATGTCCAGGTAATTAAAATCTCCAATAATTAACGTGTTGCCAGATGTGCAGCTTTCCAAATTTGCTCTAAGAGCTGTTCTCCCTCCATCAACATTATCATTAGGTGGTTTATAACATGTTCCAACCAATAATTTATTTTCTTTTACCCAAAGCATCTATCTACCCATAAAGCTACCATTTTCCTTGTCACATTCCACTTGATTGAGATTTGGCTTTAGCGCATGGTTGACATACTAACATACCCCACCACCCTTCTTGTTTTTCCTGACATTTTGTGAATAATGTGTAACCATTTATTTAAGTTAACTACCCAGTCATGTGTCTCATCCCACCATGTTTCAGTTATGCCTATTGTAACGAAATCCCGTGTTAAACAGACTATGAGAAACAGCCTTTTCGGTTATTTATGCGTGTGTGGTGATTTTGTGCAAATACAGATAAAACGAACAAACTGCCGAATCACCCGAGCTCCTATTGAGGTCGTGTGGTGCTCATTAACCGCCCAGACCTTGCGGTTAACCACAGAGTAATTGGGGAACAGCTTGGTGGTCCACGTTCATCTGCCGAACACGTGGCGGTCGCCATTTTAAATCGAACACTCAGCGGTAAATGGCGGCAATGCCCTGGAACTCTTTTCGGACACTTATTCCGCCGAACACTGCTGGTGCCTACCAAGGTCCCCATTCATACGGCTGGAAACACACGAATGCCGGGAACATTTTACCGTTCGGGACTTTTATGCGATACGAAATAGACCGACCCCAGATAGCTACAGTTATGGAACTCTTTCTCGGATATAAACACGCGAACAACCGGTGAAGTCCAAACTTCATTCGATGATATTGAGAACTGTGTTTGTGGGATCTGAACACTATTTGACTATGTGTGCTCAGATCCATGCTATCTGGGGGTATGTGGGACTTAAAGTTTATGTTCAGTAAAATATAAGTTATAGATTTTAATACTGTTTTGGGAATATATAAAAATACATGTTTTTCTCTACCTGGAGATAATTAAGGTTTCTTTTACTAACTTAAAGTTAATTATCTCCAGGATAGAGAGGAGGGATTTACCTATGCAAAGGGAAGGGCTTATGTTGGAGCCACTGCAATTGGCTACTGTAATTCTTTTGTCCTAGTCTTCCATCTGGTCCCCTAGGGGAGTGTCCACCAGGTGGGAGACCTGCATAAATACCGGGCAGGTAGCCCCCATTAAATCAGATCGTTTTACCCCTTCATGAAGTCTCGACTCATGTTTGGGGGATTGGGAGCTATAATCACTTTACTTCAGCTGGATTTCGGGAGAAACTACAAGGATCAGCGCTGCACGAATAGCAGGATCCTTTACACCTATTATGGAACATATCAGCTATGAAGAAAGGTTAACAAGTTTAAAATCTCTTGTTTGGAAGAACAGCACCTCAGAGAGGATATGATACATTATACAAATAAATTCAAGGCCAATACAAACCATTGTCTCAAAATCTATTCATAAACAGAACTATACCTAGGACACAAGGTCACACAAGAGAGACTGGAAAAAAGGAGATTTTGTCTAAAGCAATCTTCTTTTGGATTAGCAGCCAAAACAAATGTGAGAAAAGCTGGATGCATTTCCCATTGTCAAAGTACTATAGCAGTAAATATCAAGCAGGGACAGACAGATTTTCATGCAGCCTGCAAAGGAAAACTTTATAACTCACATTCTTATCATTCATCCACTATGAAACCTGCCTTACAAATATAAGTGATATCTAAACGGTCACGTATCTAAACGGTCACGTTTCAAGCTTTGCAGTTTGGTAGATAAATCTGCAGTTTCCATGGAGAAACTTCACAAATAAAATAAAGCACATATGTTGTTTATTAATCCTCAAATAAATGTTTGGTGGCTAATTTACTTTTCATTATCACATTATGCTCGTTCGCCTGTGACTCATTCATTCACTGTCACTCAGATGTAGATGTCATTGCGCTGAATTAGACAGAACCTAATAGGTGTGTAGAATTCTTTAGGGGTATGACTGAAATGCAATTTTTGTTACGTTGTTACTTACAGAGAGTTTTAATATCACTTACTATGATTTAATAAAGCTTTTTTTTTTATAGGAATCTCTTTTTTACCGAGAACATTTTCAAAAACAATAACAAAAATGAGTCTCGCAGGACTTAAACACAGACTAATGAGACTCGCAAGTCTCTCAACAAAAGAAAGAAACAAGTATTCACGTGCCTTCAATTATGTAAACCAAAATTATATTCTTTGGAAAAGAGAACCGGAGAATAGGAGTTCTCATAGAATGTGACGGCAGATAAGAACCATTCAGCCCATCTAGTCTGCCCAATTTTCTAAATACTTTCCTTAGTTCCTAGTCTTATCTTATAGTTAGGATAGCCTTATGCCTATCCCACACATGCTTAAACTCCTTTACGGTGTTAACCTCTACCACTTCAGCTGGAAGGCTATTCCATGCATCCACTACCCTCTCAGTAAAGTAATACTTCCTGATATTATTTTTAAACCTTTGTCCCTCTAATTTAAGACTATGTCCTCTTGTTGTGGTAGTTTTTCTTCTTTTAAATATAGTCTCCTCCTTTACTGTGTTGATTCCCTTTATGTATTTAAATGTTTCTATCATATCCCCCCTGTCTCGTCTTTCCTCCAAGCTATACATCTCATGATGCATGGAATGACACTATTACATTTAAACTACAACCAAAAGTAAGTGAAAAGTGTTAGAAAGAGTGGTAATGAAAGGAGAAAGGATAGTCGCCCAATAGGTAGTTAAATCATCAACCTTTCCCACCAGAGTGGAATCTACAGTAAGTTTGGGAAGCCTTGTGTATTCGTTGTCAGTATCCATTGTGTCTAAATAAGAACGTAAATGGGTAGTTTGTTTACGGCACCATAACACAGCTTCTCAAGACCACGTAGCTCCTCCATCTGGGTAAACCATACTTTCATTGGTGGAGTGTCAGGTTGTTTCCAGAATTAAAGCATAATGTGTTTGGCTACATTTAATATTCTTGTAGCTAGACCTAGGACTGTGGTATGATGTAGTAACAGTGGAGTTTGCCTAAAAGGTGGTCGGGCATCTGAGAATATATATTTTTTTTTACCATAGAGTGCACCATTCGGCCGAAGGTTTTCACTAGGGGGCAGTCCCACCAGATATATATCAATGTACCTGGGTCTTGTGTGCAGTGCCAGCCTAGATCATCAAGAGAGGGGTTAGTTCTCTGAAGGCATTGAGGGGTGCTATACCAGCACAATAAAAGTTTGTATACCCACTTAAGGACCGGCCTGTTTTTGCGATGTTGTACGTTAATGACCAGAGCAGTTTTGACACACTTGTGGTGTTTGTGTTTAGCTGTAATTTTCCTCTCTCTCATTTACGGTTCCCATACAAGTTATATATTTTTTTCAGGACAAGAAGGGCTTTCTTTACATACCATTATTTGTATCATGTCATATTTTATTTAAAAAAAATAAAATAAGGTAAAAAATTGAAAAAAAAAAGAGACGTTTTTGGACTTTTACTTGGAAAATCTTTTACTTATCTACAAAAGCTAATGAAAAAAACTGCTGAATAGATTCAAAATTTTGTCCCGAATTTAAAAACACCCAGTGTTTACATGCTTTATTGCAAGTTATAGGCCTATAAATACAAGTAGGAAATTGCTGTTTCAATATATATATATTTTAAATTTATCAATAGTGACATTGTAACACCGTTATCTGTCATAAATCCCTGAATCACACCTCACATGTACATTTTTTTTAAAGTAGACAACCCAGGGTATTCAAAATGGGGTATATCCAGTCTTTTTTAGTAGCCACCTAGTCACAAACACTGGCCAAATTTAGCATTTATATTTGTTTGTGTGTTAAAGATGCAAAAAATGCTAACTTCGGCCAGTGTTTGTGACTAAGTGGCTACTAAAAAAGGCTGAACATACCCCATTTGCAATACCTTGGGTTGTCTTCTTTTGCAAACGGTATGCCATCATGGGAGTAATTCTCATTCCTGGGCTACCATACGCTCTCAAAGGCAACCTTACCAATCTGACAAATTTCTAATAAAAAAAAAAAAAGAAGTAAAATCAAGCCTTATATTTGACCCTGTAACTTTCACAAACACTATAAATCCTCTACATGTGGGGTACTGTTATACTCAGTGTATTAGAACAGTAAAATGTATCACAGCGATAATATCATCAGTGAAAGTGCCGTTTGTGTGTGAAAAATGCAAAAAAAGACACTTTCACTGACAATATCATCGCTGTGATATGTTTTACTGTTTTGAAACACTAATATTTGTGTTCAGCGAAGTCTCCTGAGTAAAACAGTTCCCCCCATGTACAGGTTTTAGGGTGTCATAGAAAGTTGCAGGGTTAAACACAGTGCTAGCAAATTAAATTCTCTGGACTTTCGGCCTGGGTTGGCAGGCAGGTCCCTCAAATTGCAATCATTAAAATTACTTAATTAGGTAAAAATATTACATAAATACGCACGTAGAATTTTAATACATATACATATTTATATATTTGATGTCTAGGTGTATATTTATGAAATTATTTATGTAATTATGTATATGGACATATGTATATTTCGTATTATTTTTATTTATACATAGATATATATATATATATATATCTCATTACATTCCAAGGGTATTTTGATATAAATATATATATTAATATCAAAATAAGGTTAAAAAAAATTATATATATGTAATTTTATTCTAATTATTAAAAATTATTTTTACTTTGTTATTTATTTTTATTAACATATTTATAATATATATATATATAATTATATATTGTATATATATGTGTGTAACTTAAATTAAAAGTGTATTTTTATATTAATATACGTATATATAAATATAAAAATACACTTAGTATGACATTATATATATATATCAGCACAGACAGTCCCCCTGCAGGCATATACACAGACACCTATTGCAGTCATGTGATCGAGTGATCACGTGGCCGCGAGGTTCTGATCTTCCGAGGGGAGACTGCCCGGGCAGACAGGCAGTCCCCCTGGACTGGGAGGAGCGCTGATCACCGCCGGGGGACCGACGGTGATCAGGTAAGTAGCCCCAGACCGTTATGACGGTTCAGGACCGTCATCGCTCCCCAAGGAGATTTTTCCGATAGCAGTCCTGAACCCACAAAGCGCATAGGACCCATCTGTGGTTGGAACTGAAATAGAGAGTCCAAGTCTAAGATACCATGAGCTAGAGGATCTATATCCATGCATGAATTCATGAATGCGGTTAGGTCTCTTATCAGAAGAGGTTGTTGTGGAATTGACTGTATATAGTCTTGTAGTTGTCTGTATTTAAAAAGTATGCAGAAAAGAAGTATGCGACCCTGCCATCAGTGACCCTAATGATGTAATGTCCTCGGTCGTTAGTCTGTGTTGCATGCGTTGGACAGTTTGGTTCACTATTAGACTAAATGCCTTGGGATCCAGACACAACGTAAATTGTTATACATCAAGGATAATAAAGGGGAAGTGAATGTCATCAAGCAGAATTTTGCAGAATTTTACCGTGGCCGACCTGAACTGTATAAACATCTGTTTTAAGGCCCAAAAATATAAAATTAAGTGTAGAAAGCCACGCTGCTATATATATATTTTTTTTTATTTTTTTTTATTTTTTTTATTTTTTTCCCTTCATTTCAGACGTTACCAGCCTCTTATATTCTTTCAAGCTTTCTGCATCTCAGGCATTGGTATATTAGTCATCATCAGTGTTTTCTCTCCCCTCTTTTTCCTATTTATATGACTTCAATTTGTATAAAACATTAATATTACTCATTAACAAAGAAAAAAAAAAAAAAGAAGAAGAAGAAAGAAAGACCATAACATAAAGCAGACAAACACAACATTCACACACGATGAGTCTCTCTGCATTGCTATTCATAATACTGATATGAGATAAAAAAAATGTTTCCCTTCTTCTCTTTTCTCCCTTTTTTCTTTTCTCCTCACCTTTCCACCCCCTTTTTTTCTCTTTCCTTTTTCCCTCCCTATCCACTTCTCTTCCTTTCCTCTTCTATGTATATTAATCTACTGCCAACAATTTTTTTAACCATTTATTTATGTTAAATAATTTTTTTTTTCCTTCAGGTTTCTATTCAAACCTCCCTCCATCCTAAATTGCGAAATTAGTAGGTTTTTTACTATGTCCCAATTCGGTAGATTTTTAGTTCCCCACTTTCTAGCAATAGAAATCTTTGCTGCTATTAATGCATGGGTAAAAAAGTGTTGTAAATCTACATTATACTGATAAATATTTAAATGTAATATAAGCATTTCCAGGGCAAAGAGGAAGTTAGATCCAGTTACCATTTCATTTTGGACAAGAACGCTTTCCAAAATTCCTTAAGTGGGGGGCAACTCCACCAAATATGTACACAATCTCCCACTCCCCCTTCGCATCTCCAACATATATCTGTTTTACTCTGGTCTATTTTGTTTAGATGGCTAGGACCACAATAGAGTCTGTTAATGATCTTAAAATGTAGCTCCACTAAATTTAGGCATTTAATACGCCTAGTAACTGTCAGCCATGCTCTGTTCTAGTCCTGTCCATCAATTTTTTGTATTTTTAGATCTTTCTCCCATTTTTTTTAAATCGCTGGAAACGTCGTCACCCTCTAGTTGTCTCAAAACAGAGTTACATTTATTTAATAGGTTTTTCATGTCCTTTCAATAAGTTTCCTAATTTATTATTAAATTCCCATTTCTCTTTATTTAGAGTTTTATTCAAATAGCTTTTAATCCTCATATAGTTAAATTTCTCAGTTTCCGGGAGACCGAAATTAATACATATTTGTTCAAACGAATTAAAGGACCACTCTAGGCACCCAGACCACTTCAGCTTAATGATATGGTCTGGGTGCCAGGTCCAGCTAGGCTTAACCCATTCTTTTATAAACACAGCAGTTTCAGAGAAACTGCTATGTTTATGAATGGGTTAAGCCTTTCCCCAATTCCTCTAGCGGCTGTCTCATTGACAGCCGCTAGAGGCGCTTGCGTCCTTCTCACTGTGCAAATCACAGTGAGAGCACGCAAGTGTCCATAGGAAAGCATTGATAATGCTTTCCTATGTGACCGGCTGAATGCGCGCACAGCTCTTGCCGCGCGTGCGCATTCAGCCGCATGGGAGGAGAAGAGGAGGATCGGAGGAGGAGAGCTCCCCGCCCAGCGCTGGAAAAAGGTACGTTTTTACCCCTTTCCCCCTTCCAGAGCCAGGCGGGAGGGGGACCCTGAGGGTGGGGGCACCCTCAGGGCACTATAGTGCCAGGAACACAAGTATGTTTTCCTGGCACTATAGTGGTCCTTTAACCCTGGGTCCTGTTGTTATATCTTCTATAGTTTGTATACCTGCTCTTCTCCAATTATTTAGTCTTAGGTCTTGCATATTTTCTAGTATTGAGATCGGCAGGGTGTTAATAATGTGATTTTTAAATCCTGCACTTTTTTTTAATCTTACTCCATATTCCTCTAATGGACTCTATTACCACACTATTAGAACTTGGTTGGCTCTTATTTGTTTCTCCTTCTTGAGTAAACCAGAAAAGTGTTACTAGATCCCTACCATCTGCAAGTTCCTTTTCCACCGCATACCACCTTTCTAGTTTAGCCCCAGCCAATTGTGAAATGATACTATGGAAAAGGATACTCGCTTCATAGTATTGTTGTATGACTGGGAATCCTACCCCTCCCTTAGATTGATTAATCAAGAGGAGTTTTCTTGCCACTCTTGGTTTTTATGCTTGCCATATGAACTTAGACCAGGCCTGTTGTATTAATAGCAGCCAACTATCGGGGACACTCAGGGGGATCATTCTATACAAATATACCCATTTTGGTAAGATGTAAGACTTAATAATATTAATACGGCCCCAACCACGAGAATTCTAGATTCTTCCAACCCTTTAGGAGTTTATTCATTTATTTCTTTTTTTATTCTTTATTTTTCGCAGTCAACATGATATACACATTGTGTATAATACATTCAATGAAGCATAACATTGCTTTTAACCATTTGCATACATTGGTGGGATAGCGATGTTGGCTGCGGTTTTTATTGTTTATGGTAATGTAACTTGTTACCGCCATGATCATGTCTCTAGCGGTGGTTGTGGTTGGTGTAGGTGTCAGGGACATGTATGGTTGTGTAGTATCAGAAATTGAGAGACAGAGTGCGATATATATCTAAGGCGGGCTGGGTGCTGAGTGGGCACAGCTCCACTTGGTTGAGTGGGTGTAAGTGGTTACTAGCGCAGAGCTGGGGGGGTAAGGTGTTCGTTAAGAAGCTAGTGTTTCCGGGTTTAGGCCTGTTTAGGTCTGGGAGGTGGTAGAGATGGGTACGGCCCGCTGTTGGTGCATGGTGTGGTATGTTGCGCGGTGTCTAAGTGGTGCATAAAAAACAAACAAAGGGGGATACAATACGAACGGTATAACTTATACTGCGTCTACAGTTACTGTGACAGTTAATGCGTCTACTGTGAGGTGCCTGTGCCTCATAATACGAAAAAACAAGGGTTTAAGTAAAAATATATAAAAGAAACTATATAATTTCCAGAGTCAAGTAGTTGCACGGCTGGGTATGTTCCGATTTGCCGGGATGAACGGGGCAGAGTTGGCCGGGTCCCATGCTGTCGGTGCCGGCGTTGCTGCGTGTTTCAGGCCCAGAGTGGTCAGGGTTGCCTCTATCTGCGATGCCTCCGCTACCTTGATCTCCGTGTTTTGGTGCTGGATAATTAGCGTGCGCGTTGGGCCCCATCGGTACTTGATTCCTTTCATTGATAATATGGATGTGAGGGGTCGTAGCGTCTTCCGCCACTGAAGTGTCGGTCGGGAGAGATCTGAGTAGAAGGTAATGTCCATTTCCTCAAAGCGGAATGGGGGTTTCCCCCTCACTGCTTTCATGATGGCTGCCTTATCTTGGCCATTTTGGAATTTGACCAGTAGGTGGCTGGTGTTGGAGGCCGCAGCTGCAGGAGGCTTGGGGAGCCGGAACATCCCCTCCAGTGTGATACCTTACGCTTGTTTGGGTGATAAAAGGGCTGTGAAGAGCCTACACAGGCAGTCTTGTTCCATTTAGCAATGAGAACCATTCAGATCCGAAGCCATTTCCTACAACTCTAGCCGTAGGTACTGTATAAAGAGCAGAGATATTCTGGAAAAGTCTTCCCTCTAATCCAAATGCCTGAAGGGTTTGCCTCATGAACTCCCAGTTGACCCTGTCAAATGCTTTTTCAGCATCTAACGACAGGGCCAACATGGGCCCCGATCTTCCCGCATGATTCAAAACATCAATCAGTCAGTCTTCTTATATTATGGGTAGATGATCTACCTGGGACAAAGTCCACCTGGTCCCTATCTATCACATCTGGTATAATTATTTTCAACGTTCTGCTATCATAGCCGAATAGAGCTTTATATCGGTATTTAGAAGGGAAATTGGGTGGTAGTTCTTATTTTTTTTCTGTGTCTTTTTCTTGCTTAGGAATTGGGAATATATTCGCTTGCAGTAATTCTGCTGGAATCTTTTCAGTTGTTCCAAAAGGAGTTAAAAACTTCGATCAAATCTGTTTTGATATTGTTTTTCAATAATTATAGAAGAGGTTATCAAACCCATCAGGTCCTTTTTTATTTAAGTTTATTAATACAGAAGATCAATTCATCCTCCTTGAATATTTTATTTGTAGTTGTAGATCTGTGATTGTCGGTATTTTGATAGTTTTTAAGACCTCTCTGATGTCTTATTTATTTGACTTGAAATGTTGTATAAATCCTGATAATATTTTTTTAAAGGCTTCTCCTATTTTTTCTGGGTTTAATAAAGTTTCCCCATTGTGTACAATTTTAGCAATAACCTTTTTAACTTTTTCTTTCTTTAGTCTATTTGACATCAGTGCTTCTGCTCTGTTTCCCATGTAATAACATTATTGTTTAATGCCTATTAAGGCCTTATTAGCTTTTGCCATCAGTTGATCATTTATTATTTTTTCTACTTCTGTTATTGTATTGGTAATACTAATAGAAGGGTTTCTTTTATTTTGATAAAGTAAGTCATCCAGTTTTATATATAGCTCCGCCAGGCTAGCCCTTTTCTCATTCAGCTTAAATTCTTTGGCTGTTAGGCCTATAAGGTGGCCCCTTATTACCGCTTTAAATGCACACCAGGTCATTGCTGGGTAGACCATTCTTTCTGTTCTCTAGGAAAAAAAGATCTGTCATCTCTTTACTATAATTAAGGTTATTTTCCTTTCTCAATATCCAATCCTTCATTCTCCATTCTGTTCTGGGTCTCTCAATCTGTTCTTTTAGTTCTAATATTATTGGGTTATGATCGGACCACGTTGTGGTTGTTATAAAGATTTTTTTTAACCTGTTTCACTGAATTTCTATCCCCCAAAATTAAATCAATTCGGGAGTATGAACAAAAAGTTTTAGAGAAGCATGAAAAATCTCTTTTTTTACATGGAATATCCTCCAATAATCCTGCAAACCATTTTGTTTGACTAATTCAGAAAAAAATTTCCCGTTAGTTTTTACCTTCTTATAGTTATCGCCTTTTAATTTAGGACTTCTGTCCAAATCTGCATCTAAGACGCAATTAAAGTCTCCCGTAACAATGACTCGACCAGTTTTAACGCGGTCAATTCTATTAAATATTTTTCTAATAAATGGAATTTGTGCCTGGTTTGGGGCGTATATATTAACGAATGTGTATTTTTGGTGATTAATTTCGCACACTAAAAATTATGTATCGACCTTCTGTATCAAGTTCTTGGTGAACAATTTTCAGAGAAACATTCTTCGAAAACAAAAAAAAGCTACCCCTCTTTTTTTTGGGGGCTTACAGAGGCATTAATTATAGTGGGAAATAACTTAGACTTAAGTTTTATTTTTTCTTCTAGTTTCCATTTTTTCTTCTAGATCCGCTCGGTTAAAGATCCGCTTAACCAAACACCTCTCTCCAATACCCTCCGTATAACAGTTTAGGCAATCCACCCCCTACTGCATTGATGCAGCACAGAGGGGGAAGGGGGGGGGGGAGAAAGGAAAAAAAAAAGAACAATTTCTCTCATACTTTTTCTTTTTAGATGTCACTCAATTAAGCACAAAAAAAGGTTGGGCATCCACTTTTAAACAAGTTTAAGCAATAGGTACACTTATACACTTATCTGCCACTGCCTCTCATGGGGAATCTGGAATCCTGCTCACCACCTTCGTTTACGTTTTACTCTCCTTTTTGGATGTCACTCGGTTAAAGATCCGCTTTTTAAACAGTGTAGGATTGAGCATCTATTCCTTTCTTTTTTCTTCCCTTTCTGTCTTTTCCTTCCCTTTTTTTTTTTTTTTAAGCAGGTTAAACAAATTTTCAGTAATTAATGTACTTACCGTATATACTCGAGTATAAGCCGAGTTTTTCAGCACATTTTTTGTGCTGAAAAACCCCAACTCGGCTTATACTCGAGTCAGTCTGTATTATGGCAATTTACATTGCCATAATACAGACTGGGGGCTGGCAGCGAGCGCTTACCTCTCCTGCAGCTCTCTCCTCCTCCGCGCCGGTCCGTGCAGCACCTCGGTCAGCTCCCAGTGTAAGTCTCGCGAGAGCCGCGGGGTCATAGTGCGGCTCTCGCGAGACTTACAGTGTGAGCTGAGAGAGGAGCTGCACGGACCGGCGCGGAGGAGGAGAGAGCTGGCAGGAGCTGCAGGAGAGGTAAGTAACAGCTCTGCCAGCCCCACTCCTCCCCCCACTGAACTGCCAATGCCACTGGGAAGGAGAGCCCCCCTCCCTGCCATGTATCAAGCAGGGAGGGGGGACAACAAAATATATAAATATAATAATATATTAATAATAATAAAAATAATATAAAAAATAATATAAATAATAATAGAAAAATAATAATAATATAACAAAACAAATTAAAATAATATAAAAAATTTTTTTTTTATAAAAATGCCCACCCCCCCACCAAGGCTCTGCAACACAAACACACACTGCATTCACACACACACTGCATTCACACACACACACTGCACACTCATACTCACACACTGCACACTCATACACACACACTGCACACTCATACACACACACTGCACTCATACACACACACTGCGCACTCATACACACACACTGCATTCATCATATACACACACTGTAAATAAATATTCAATTAATATAATTTTTTAGGATCTAATTTTATTTAGAAATTTACCAGTAGCTGCTGCATTTCCCACCCTAGTCTTATACTCGAGTCAATACGTTTTCCCAGTTTTTTGGGGTAAAATTAGGGGCCTCGGCTTATATTCGGGTCGGCTTATACTCGAGTATATACGGTATCTGCTGCTTCCCCTCAAAGGGATATCTGGTCTCGCTGCCTCTCTTCTCCCAGCTGTCTCTGCTCCCACCTGGTCCTGGCGTTCCGGACTGTGCAGTCACCCACTTCACCGCTGTCGGCCAAAGTCTCTCAAAGTCTCTGGGAGCGCTCACCACTCCACCGCACACTGCATAGACTCCCAACGCTGTCCTCACACACATCCAGACCTCCTCTTCATTCTCCCGCGATGCTCAGCACCCTTTCTTCCTAGCCAGAAAGACACCCGTGAAACGCCATCGTGCGTGCGTCTGCTACGTCCTCCCACGCTGCTATATTTAAAGCCGAGCACCCCTTAGCTTGGTTTCCAGCCAATCATTACTCCAAGCTCTGCTCTTCACATCTGTCCATCAGCATAGAGAGTCAGTAAAATTTTCCAATGCAATGTGTGCCAGGACTGAAGTTGATTGCTAAAACTTTATAAGGACACTGCGTAGCCCTCCCTGGTACTCCACTCCCCTGCTGTGAACGCCTTACTGAGGTGGGTGTTACACTTCAGGTCCACCCGCACTCCTACTCAGTTGTTCTTTGATTTGCCCTGCTTGGGGACACTTAACATCACTCCATTTCTATTACTCCTAGATTGGCTAGGGTTGATAACAGAAGGACCTCCTCGGTTCTACTTTTCCAGTTTTAATTTCTGGCGCAGAGTGTCAAAGTTTTGTTTGTTTAAATTAATTTTGACCTCATCAGCAGAAGGTTCCACACAATAAAAAAAGTCATACTTATTGCTTTGAGTTAGTCACAGTATACACTGCATATTAGGGCAGATTATTTCTGTGGGAGTATAAAACACCGTACACACAGCTTGTTATGGTCACAGTTATTCACCAAACAACAAATTCCAACAAATCCACAAAGAAATTGCCTAGTTTAAAGAGCCCATGAACGAAGCTCATCCATATAAATCTGAAATGACCTAAAAAGGACCAAAAACAGTTTGAAGTGTCCAGCAATGTCCATATTAAATTCCAAATTTAACCATTTGATAATGGCAGATGGTTTAAACCTTGGCCCCCCAAGAATGTAACAATTTCCCAGACCAATATAAAAGAGGAGAAGCTTTACTTTTCCCTCAAACCACGCATGGCAGTATGAGGGTCCAAAATGAGGTTGGGTCTGCAGCTGCCCAGACCACCACTCAGAATATTAACTCCTACCATTACTCGTGGTGTGAGAGTATAGGAGGGGTTCTCTCGGAATGTGAAAGTTCTTCTCTGTGCTCTTCCTGTTCTGGAGAACTACTAATTTCTTAAGTTTGACTTCACAACCCCATTTCTTCAATTACTTTGGCTCTGTGGATTTGTTGGTTGCTGTATTTGGTGGGCGTTGGCCCCATCTTGGTGCACGCTCTGCGAAGGGTGCAGCAATGTCCTGGGCCTCTTCATTAGGAGTCTCTCTTGGTGACATCTTGAGGTCTGCAGACTGGTCTAGGGGAGATACGTTCAGAAGACTTTACTGCCGTCCTTTACAAGCCTTGTTTGCATTGCTAGCTGAGTGTTCAAACAGCAAAATATTTGCCTCCCGTCATGTAATAAAATTCACATTTTACCTATAGTTTTGATGAGTAACATGCTGATGTCATCCTTGGATAGCCATATAAATATTTAATTGTGCTCATAGGAAAGAAAAAGCATTCGATACTGAAGTGTTCACATTAATCTAGCCAAGTTCATGCAATATTATTCTGTACAATGCAGTCTTCTGTGTCTGTCCTTAAAGTGAACAAATTATGCAGATAATCCTTCTTGTATTTACCACTAAGTCAATGGCATCCTGTCGGCAAAGCAGTAAAGGCGATGAAGGCCACAAAGTGCATAATGAGTACAGCTATGATTTAGTGGGACATTATAGCCACCGAGCGCACTCAATTTTAAGAAGTGGTCTGGGTGCCATTCCCCCCTTTGTTTTAACCCTCCAATGTAAAACCCTGCACTGCCACGTATGATAATCTATTTTCTGTTGCTACATTAATCTCACTGATTTATTTATCTACTTATCTGACCATTATTATCTATAAAACCAACACCAAATCGAGTAATGATTAAGGAAATTGTATCCATATACAGACATTTTCAATTCCATAGCATCACTGATCTTAGGTTGTTGTTACAGGTTCCCTCTAGCTTACTGTTTTTATACAGTGAATAAATATCTCATAAAGAAAAATGTTGCATTGCACGAGGAGCGACTAACTAAATACTCACCTCCTCTCCAGTGCTGTAGAAGCTGTCAGGACACAGAACATCCTATTGAAATCCGTATGTTGCAACAATAGCATTCACCATGCATTGACCTGAATGTTAAAGTAGATATAACTTCATCTTGACAACATAGGTACAAATAATATGGGGGACTTCCACCATTGTGTTGCCTATCTAAGGGAGATGGAAAAGCACCTTGTTAGGTGAAGTGAAAAACAAGTCTCTAAACATGAGGCTTAGGTTCATGAAAGAATACTGGTAAAACTAACTCTTGTTTGATATGATACCTAGAAACACCCTTGGACAGCAATTGAGGAACACCTTGTCTAGGAAAAAAAATTGATGTCCTTAATATCGGATATCTTCTGGTTGACATAAGAGCTACTAGGAGTAAAATTATAATGGAATTCACTGTATCTAATGGCTCAAGTTGAGACTTGGGTGGAATGTTCAAAGGTAGTGGCAGATCCCAAGAAGAATTGTGTAGACAGTTAGAGGATGTCTTATATTTAGTCGCTATATGATGAATTGACTAGTGATTTCCAAACACAGAGAGAGATGAAATTTGGACCTTGGGTAAGCTCAAAGTAAGGATCCAGTTCTGTCTGATGACTCCCCATGACCTGAGTCAGGGAAGGAGCAGTTAAAATGTTCTCATCTTTACAGGCCAATGGGTTATTCTTATTGAGCTCATGTAGCAAACTTCCAATGTAGATGATTTTATTGGTTCCATGGAGAGTGGATATTTTGACTTCCAAGAGCCAGGCCATGAACTTCAGCTTCTCCAGGCAAGGATACACTGGACCCTGAAGTAGCCATAATATAGATAGAAGATAAGATTTCTTCCCCCCACCACCCCTCCTTTCCTACTCCACTGTTGACAAGGTTGGAATCAGAGGTTCCAAGGCCAACCTGCTCATCAGAGATGAAGGTCTCTATGGGCAATATGCAGGGATTTACCGAAGGACACGCTACTGAGTTTCTCTAAGCTTCTGTTTATTCGCATATTTTTTGCTTCACTGTATTTGCTTAGGCTTCCCTTAAGTTAAACGGGTAATCCAGACGTGGAGGCCATTCTCACTGTGCTCAGAGGGGTATCAACTACATTTCACTGACTAGCTCCAATGAATGCATAAATGATTGTCCAGGGTTACTCTCTCTTGTGCCGAGGGAACTTACTGGTGTTAATCTGATATGCCAATGGTATGGGTTCTCTTTGTAATGGCACAAGGGAGCAAATACTATATATTGAGCTTCCATCCATTCTCAGAGTTCTAAGTCTGTTTTTTTCTTCAGATTTTTTCAAGACCTGACTATCTGTGTAATTGTAGGAAAATGTAGCTGAGATTAATGCTCTATCTTAAAATCAACACGTGTCGGTCTATTGCACTGAATTCGACTTCTGAGAATCTAATGGTGCATGTGTGCCCAGCGATGATGGATAATGCCATGGCAACGTGAATGCAATGCCTGGCGAAGCAGAGACTAAGTCATGCTCCTGAATTAAATGTTAACACTTCTGGGGGGAATGTTCTGCTTCTGCAGCGACATATTACCTCTAAACTTTAAATTTCCAGTCCTATACACCTGGATGGAAGAAGCTACACAGCTGCTAATTGTGCAACAAATAACTATTTATATGAAATATGGATACATATTTCTTATTTGGTAATCCTGGAGCAGAACTCATAGCTCGACATATAAACCACGGACAGATAACACAATTCAAAGTAAGTAAACTGAATCAACGTAACTAACGAATAGTAACAATGTAACAGGGTATTCAACAATAACAGCACACACTATTCTAGTAAGGTTAAAAGCAAAATGGTAAGAATACAGTGGACTGAATTTAGTCAACATCCATTTAGGATTAATTACAATCTCTGTCATCCTCATAATAAATCTACTCTGAGAGTGAGACTGCGTGTACCCAGAATGCCTTTCTCCAGAATTACAGCGAGGTTTAGGGTAAACAACCGGGACATTTTAAGGGGTTTGCACGGACTCAGTCATGGACGGACAAAAGGTTGCAAAGCCATATGTTGTAAAACTATTGCTCCAATGATGCTACACTAGCAAAGCATTGTAGGTATTCTTGTTCTACAACACTTGCCGTCTACCTCGAGTGTCTGACCATCTTTGGATTTGATGGTCACAATGGCCAGTAACGTCACTAGTCGTGTGGTTTCATTTAAAAAACAGTGTTCCTATATAAATCAGTCAGTTCATAAATTAATGACTAGAAGAAAAAAAAAATCTAAATTAAAATGGACATCTCTTTATGACAAGCCTTACAGAATTTAATTATCTCATTTCGATCAGTTAGTGCATGATGTGTGGATAATTTGCTTAAAAACAAAAAATGAAATACATGTGAAAAGTGTGTGTGTGTGTTTTTAACATAATAATGCAATTACATACAATGAAACAAGCAAATCTGTGAATATGGTCCCATGGGGGGGATTCTATTATTGAGTGTGTTGCAGAAAAACCCCTCCCTTTCCTATGCTACTAGCCTCATAAGGAAATCTGCAGTCCATCTGCGACTTCTTTGTTACGAGGCAGGTCAATAGCTGATAATTAGGACACTCTGTTGACCCAAAGTAGAATAAATATTCTTTTTACCTCCCATGAGGAACAGTAGCCCAGCCACATACTGCATTAGATCATGCCGCTTACAACAGCCCAGCACTCCTATTAACCACCCGAAAAGGATAATGGAAACAGCCATCCCGATAAAGCCAGCAGTCATCCTTCTCAGATCTGCGGGAGAGGAAAAGCTCATATTAACAAAGTATTAGGACCACATCCACAGCACTAAAGGCTAATATCAGCATATGATTTACAGAGAAATACATTTCTTCCCCATACCAGATTAAATTGAAAAATAATGCTGTTTGCATTTTTCTCATCTGTCCTAACAGACCAAAATCTGTCCCCTAAAATAGCTCTAATTTGTGAATAAACTTACTAAGTTATGAAATTTACCAAACAAATCGATATGGTTATTAAACGAAGTGCAAAACACAATAAACATAGAAACATAGAAACATGATCTACCAATCTAGTCATACTACCCTATTATCTTAAACCTTATTCCAATGCTTAAAGAGACATACATAGCTTGCTGTAGTGGTTAGTGGTGCCAGGCGTGGGCCTGATGTCTTTAAATTAAAATAGTAATTCTTTAGGATAACAAATATATGTTGCAGCATGAATGATCTACCAAGCATACTACCCATTACAAACATTCCAATGTTAAAGAGACATACATAGCTTGCTGTAGTGGTTATGGTGCCAGGCGTGGCCTGATGTCCTCCAATGGTAAGATGTCAAACTATACTCCAATTGTTTGACAACTTAATTGGGTCCCCCCTGGGCACTCACACCGAATCCGTCTCATCCAGGTTTGTAGAGCAGGAAAAGTTGAATGGCTCTATAGAGCAAACTGTGCCAATGCAGAACATGCTCATTAGCTGAAAGTGCTCATCTGACAATGATTGTGATCCTGCATTGCTCTGAGCAGTGACATTCAGCTAGATAACACAGGATGCAGCACAGGTGCATGTACAATTTTCCCTTTGAATTTCACATTCAATAGTTCCTAATGACCCATAGCGAATCTAGCCTCCAGTTTTTCAAACAGAACACAGAGCTGCAGTACACACAGATTGTTGGAATAAAATGTACTTACGGAGAGCATGCCACTCATCCTGTCGGATGGTCTTTGTGACGTTGATGGGCAAGTTGGGAGGCAAAGAAGATGAAGTATAGTGGTAACGCACTGGAGTGCAACGTTCAACAATTCCTAAAAGCACATTGAAAAAAAATAACACTTTAGTTTTCAGAGGGAAGAAATGGTTAACTGCAGTCAAATGCATCAGTGCAGATCTCTCTCCTTCTGTATCCAACTGATCCCATCCCACAACGCATCTTCTACCCTTTGTTTGTAAAACACTAATCACTCAGCACATGGCACCTGAGTTGCTAAATCACCTTAAAGTCCCTTAAATTAGAACATTATTATTATTATTGGTATTTATATAGCACCAACTAATTCCGCAGCAATTTACAATATTATGAAGAGGGGGTGGGGGGGAGGGGGAATTTACAATAAATGAGACAATTACACAGTGACACAGGAACAATAGGTAAATGAGGGCCCTGCTCAAATGGGCTTACAGTCTAGAGGAGGTGGGGTTCAAATACACAACAGGGCAGTAAGGGTGACAGCCACCAAACAAGGGGGAAAAGTAGCAGAACTGGAGGTGAGAGTGGAGTGTGGTTATTTTAGGAGAGCAAGAGACAGACTTGGGTAAGTATAGATAAGATACTCTGGGAGTCCATAAGCATTTCTAAACATGTGTTTTGAGGGACTTCTTAAACCATGAAAGACTAGGGGAGAGTCTGATGGGGGGTAGGCAGGCTGTTCCAAAAGAATGGAGCGCCCGCGAGAGGTACTGCAAGCGCGAGTTAGCAGTAAGGGTGCGAGCAGCGGACAGGAGAAGGTCACCGGCAGAGCGGAGAGACCGAGAAGGGGAACATACACTTCAGTAATTGGACATGCTGCTCCCAGACTGAGCCACAGAAGTGTCATTAGACACAAGTTAGTAACAATGTAACCAAGGCCCACAAGGAACAGACTTCACCGTGCTCTCGGATACATAGACTAAACGGAGGATATTAAGTCATTTCAACAAGTTGAAGTGCTGTGGGAGGTGCCACTCTGGCAAACAGCAGATAAAAATAGGGGCTGGCAAGAACCCATCCAGCTGGCTGAACACACAGACAGATAAAAGATTCACAGTAGGGGAATGGAATGATTTTGGGGTCCGGCATAATAACTGTGCTTTATAGAACACAATCAATGTCATGATTGCACAGGTCCAGAATGGGTTACGTAATTGATAGAACTGATTTAGAACCAATTCATCACCTGAGCTGTGCTGAATACGACAGACATAGATTCATCCACTGAATAAGGAGTTGGAGACTGAATTGCAAATCTTAGGCCAGATTAGCTGAGTATTGCGCTGAATTGGAGAATTTTTCAATTTCAGCTATTTTAGCCTTAAATTTGCAATTCATTTGTCAATTTCTGCAATTCACACTTTAATTAATACTCCCAAATCCCTAGCAGCTTAAATCATGCTGATTTCATCCTCTAAAAGTCATTTTAATATTTAATCATGCTCATGGAGAGGAGACATTAGTTTCTCAATGCAATCTCGTCTTTGTTCATGCTATGCCAATGCACAGTCTAATTACACATGAAATGCAATCAGCTGTCTCATTCTTTGTTCCAGATCTTTACACGTTAACGTATAGAGTGCTCCAAAACTGGCTTAACGTGTTAGACTTTAAAAGAGCCATTAAGAAAATCAACTGGTTTTCACATGAAGCAGAGCAGAACTTGGCATGTTTACAAGTTATCTCCATCCAGGGAGCTGGTGCCTGGATAAAAATGATAGAGGTTCAGTGGATTATAGTGGATTAAAAGATCTCTTCAATGGTAGGAAATTTATGCGGTTGTATTAGATTGCTTGAATTAAACAGGATGAAGTTCTGCCTTTTAGCTGAGTATTGCGCTGAATTGGAGAATTTTTCAATTTCAGCTATTTTAGCCTTAAATTTGCAATTCATTTGTCAATTTCTGCAATTCACACTTTAATTAATACTCCCAAAACCCTAGCAGGTTAAATCATGCTGATTTCATCCTCTAAAAGTCATTTTAATATTTAATCATGCTCATGGAGAGAGACATTAGTTTCTCAATGCAATCTCGTCTTTGTTCATGCTATAATGCACAGTCTAATTACACATGAAATGCAATCAGCTGTCTCATTCTTTGTTCCAGATCTTTACACGTTAACGTACTGCTGAATTGTCCAGTGATTGTTAGCACGTTTAAGGCTTTCAGAGCAAGAAATTAACGGAGAGGATCTAGATTAATTATCACTGCAGGGGGATTTACTAGGTGAATAAAGACTGCTGAATTGTCCAGTGATTGTTAGCACGTTTAAGGCTTTCAGAGCAAGTTAGATGTTCTATGATTGGCTTTACATGAGGAGTGTAATATATACTTGCCAAGTGTCCCACTTTAAGAAGGAAAGTCCTTCTATGGCGCACATATACTACGGGCCCTCTTTGGGGCCATAAAGATAAAATCTTCACGGTTGCGCCTAAAATTACCAATATATAAAACAACGATATTAAAAAATACAAAGTAGTAAAAAGCAATAAAAAACCCAAGATAATACTAAGCAATAAGAAGCCCAAGGTTAAAATAACAAATGTATAAAAATAACTAGAAAAAGTTAAAGCTTTGAGGTACAGATGGTAAAACAGTAGAGACCTTTTGGAAATTTTACTTTACTGAGAGGGTAGTGGATGCATGGAATAGCCTTCCAACTGTAGTGGTAGAGGTTAACACAGTAAAGGAGTTTAAGCATGCATGGGATAGGCAGAAGGCTATCCTAACTATAAGATAAGGCCAGGGACTAATGAAAGTATTTAGAAAATTGGGCAGACTAGATGGGCCGAATGGTTCTTATCTGCCGTCGCATTCTATGTTTCGATGTAAATTCTTATTTTTGGGGGGATTGGGGAGTCAAACACGACTTTGGATCCGTATCCACAATGGTGTAGTATGCTACAAATGAATAATGTGTGATGCACAGATCTTTATGGTCTTACTCACATTTTATAGATCCAAAACAATATTGTCGAAATGCATTGTGGTTTATTTTACATTTTATAGTACTATTATAGGAATATTGGCTACTTTTATTTTTGTGCCATATACCTTTTTTCCCCCACTTTTATTTCCTCTATTTTATCTACCTGGCCTCCTGTTTACAGCTCCAAAGAAGACCTTACTAAAGAATCCTAGGTGGAGATCATACCACTTGTGCCTTATAAATTGAGCAGTTTGCCCTGCTCAATCAAATGTGAGTATAAGACCTTTTATATTTTTTAAATTGGTTTTATACAGATAACACTACTGCTCCCTGCTTTCTTTTGGGTTACCATATTGCTGAGATATCTGCTGGACGTATACTCACAAATATCCCACCAGTGGGGGATCAACCCCTGTTGAATGCGAACTATACCAGAGCTTGTATTAGCTCTATAGAATGTGAGTAAGACCATAAAGATCTGCACATCATGCATACTACACCATTGTGGTTTCTTTTTTGTTCTTCTCTCTATGTGGATACGGATCCAAAGTTGTCTTTGTCTCCCGTATTTCCACAAGAAAATAATTTCCAACAGGTCGTTTCCTTAAAGTTTGGACTTTTTCTAGTTATTTTATAAACTTCTATTAGTTTAACCTTGGACTTTGTATTGCTTTTCATTATTACTTAATATCATTGTTTTATATATTATTATTATTTTTAGGCACAACCTACTCCTGTTTTTGTCTGCGTATTCATATCTTGTGTCTGTAAGGGAGTCCCATCAGCTTTAAGTGTGCTGCTGTCCCTTCTGTTGTTTATGTCCACTTGGGAAAACCTGACTAAAGGCGGATCTACCTCCGTCATGTTTTGTCACTTTTCCCAGCACACAAGGCGGAGATGTCCGTCAATATCTGGGGTCTTTACAAAATATGAAAAGATCCCAGGAAGTGACTGATCTGCTTTAAATTCACTTTGAATTCTTGACAATTTTCACTTTAGAGAATAACCAAGTAAATTATATATATATATATATATATATATATATATATATATATATATATATATATATATATATATATATATATATATATATATATATATATATATCTCCCCTGTTCGTCTAGAACAACGAAGGTAAGTAAAGGAAGGGGGAGTCCCTTAAGTAGGTCTATAGTCCCTCCCACAACTTCAGGCCATGCCTTCCAAAATATATGTATGTATGTATATATATATATATATACACACACACACACACACACACACACACACACACACACACGGGAACAGGTACAGAGACTCCATTACCGTGAGGAGTCCCTGTTTCCGCTGGCTATGCATAGGCTTGAGGGGGAAGGTGGGTTGTGTTTTTCGGGGGCAAACTACACGGCACGGGCGGGAACAGGCCTCCCAGACTCCTATACCGTAAGGAGACCCTGTTCCCGCCGGCATTACACAGGGAAGGGGGGAGGTGGTCTGGGTTGTCTGAGTAAGACCCAGTCTGCTTGTTTGTGCATGAGTTAAGGGGGAAGGAGGGCATGGTACAGGTCTGGTGCTGGCTGACCCCTAGTTCAGCCATAAGAGAATAATACAATATATCTCAATTACAATGCCTTTAATTCGGTTAAATACTGTGTTGTTCTGTATATAAGTTACTGCAAGTAGAACTCTGGTTAATCACATATATATTGTACTACATGCTTTACAGATATAGTAGTTATAATAGTATATGCATTACTTACGGCTGGTTAGATAATGTTATACGATATCTGCATTGAAAGTTGTAAAAAAGTTTTAAAGATCATTAACCCGTGTTGATGTTAAAGTACATGGCTACTGGGAGCATTGTGTCTATAGGGGGGACAGTACTCTCTGCAGTCACTCCCTAAACTACTTTCAGTTATACAATCTTATGTGTATGTCCTACAAGAGTACCTTATCTGAATTCTCATACCCCCAGGAACCCCGAATACCCCTGGATGGGTCATCTAAACTAAGCTCCCCCCCCATTTAAGAGACCTCTGATTTTTCGTATACAGAAGCCAGGGCTCACTTTTTCTGCAGGTATGTTGGTTCACGTTATTTTCAACACGGCTGTTTAGTTATTTTCCCTGTCCCTTAGTCCTAGCAGTCCGCGAGGCCAACTCCCATCCTCCACTTCGAGGTACTATATGCCCCTCGGGCCAAATCATAGTCGCCTCGCAAATTATTTAGAGAGGGCGACACCAGTCACTGCCAAATACCCCCCTGTCTACTCATGGAGAGGCCAACGTCCCATCACCGGTGTAGGTTACCACGCACCTCGTGCTAACTCATAGATAGAGCCTCTCTAGCCACTTGGCATTAGCAGGGCCTCACCTGCCACAAATCCTAGAATAATCTTTTGCCATCTGGCACTAGCTAGCCACCTGTTAATTCCCAACCCCCAGACGATGTCACTACTCCCAGACGATGGTGAGGATATGTCAATCCCTAGCACCCCTGCTAGGTCACTTACCCCGACTCGCAAGGGCGACATGGGAAGTCCCTCGTCCATCAGATCATGGACTATCCCCCGGATTACTGCAGAGTTACGTAAATGTAGTATCCCCTTCCCGGCCCCTGCCAGGAAAGCAGAACTGTTCAAATTGCTAAGAACCAATACCCTTAATACAGACGCTGGGGAAGGCACAAGCAGCTCTCAAGATTAGACTCTCCATGTTATGGTTGCCTCCCTAATCTCTTCTATGGGGAAGGTCAACGACAGGCTGGAGAGGCTGGAAGCCCGTAGCTTCCCTGTACAGCCTCCTGGTCCTCTCACCGGAATAATCCCGGTCATACCCACAGCAATAGTGGGTAATTCCATATCCACCAAGGCAGCCGCCCACATTATTAATCCTGCCCACATGGTTCCAGCTAATCTTAAAAAGGACCTTCTGGAAGGCAAGGACGTTAACTTAGTCTCACTGCTCATTGTCTCCCAGGATATCGTGGAAAACCGGTCTTACGACTACGGGGACATCTCGGTGGTTTTAAAAGCCAGAGACCCCAGACTCAGTAAGAAACTGGCCATTCCTGATTTTGTTCTAGCTTTCGGTATCTTTAGGGATATTCTATGCACGGTTCATCCCCATAGGAGAGAGGAACTGGATCTATATATGCATAAGCTGGTGGACCTTGGTAATAAGTATGGTGGCTATACTTTTTACGACTATCACAAGTCCTTTTCATCAAAAGTGTCGGTCACGTTGTCCCAGTAGGGCATCCAGATGGATTGGAGCCAACTGGACAATGAACTGTTCCTCAGACATTTCGCAGGACTTCGGACACCAGCTTGTGCCATATGTACCTCACCCGCTCACGCAGCTAATTTTTGCCCTCTCTGTCCGGATAGCGCTCCCGGCTCATCCTTACAGCATCCCCCAAGGGAGAAACAGACAAGAGACAAACTGGGTCGTCCAGTAGTGTCCCTAGGCAAATCTCAGATTTGCAATAATTTCAACGAGGGCTCCTGCGGTTACAGCACCTGCCGCTTATTACACGTATGCTCGCATTGTTTCAGGACACATGCGAAATCCATGTGCCCTAATAAAATGTACCAGAAACCTTATTTGTCTCCGGTGAACATTCCTGTACTTGCATGTATGCTGTCCACTCACCCCTCCAAACACCTCGTGGAATTTTTATGCACAGGTCTCACCCAGGGTTTTCACACGGGGCTCATTTACATGCCTACAGGGGTGTTAGAGTGTCACAATTTGCAGTCTGCCACTAATCACCCTACTTCAGTCACTACCTTGTTACAACTTGAAGTGGATCAGGGATTTGTCATTGGGCCTTTTTGTAACCCCCCCTTTTCCAGCTGGAGAACTAACCCTATCGGGCTGGTTTCCAGCAAAAATTCTGAGAAACTAAGACTCATCATTGACCTATCCGCACCCCACTCTTCAGCCATCCCCAGCCTAAACTCATTGATTCCATCTGAGGAATTTTCCCTACAATACTCCACTATTGATGACGCTATTGCGGCTATCAGATCGGCAGGGTTGGGGGCTTGGCTTAGCAAGACGGATATTGTGAATGCTTTTAAATAGTTACCTATACACCCCTCTTTGTAGCACCTGCATGGCATTAAGTGGCAAGACGCCTACTACTTTTTTACAAAGCTCACCTTTGGGGCCAAGAGTAGTCCGAGGATTTTTGACACGTTTGCAGAAGCTTTGTTTTGACTCCTCCTTAATACCTGCAGGTGCCCAAATGTGATTACTTAGATGATTTTCTTTTCATCAAATCTAATTCCAACCCACTATGTAGTCTAGACAAAGCAGTCAAGCTATTCACCTCCCTTGGTGTCCCCGTGTCACCCACTAAAACCGAAGGACCAGACACAATCATAAACTTTCTTGGTATTTTGCTGGATTCATCAACAATGATGGCCAGCCTCCCTAGAGGAAAGATCGATTACATCCTACACGATATTAGTCACTACTTGCAATCATAAAGAATTACAATCACTTTTGGGTTCACTAAATTTCGCCATGCGCATAATCCCCCAGGGCAGGGCTTTCATTTCCAGGCTCCTCGCCCTGTTCCCCACCTTCTCCAACGACTATGTCCGCATATCCTTGGACTGTCCTGCGACCGCTGACCTCCAGATGTGGTACAAATTCCTCTTGGACTGGAATGGGAGGAGCATGTTCCTCCCGCAGATTGATTTACAGTCACCTGTCATTTGGACAGACGTGGCATCATCCGCGGGATATGCGGCCATTTTCGGCACAGAATGGCTCTGGGGGACCTGGACAACAGAAACACAGGGCATTGAGGGTTTTCACACTAACTCAGCCCTATTTGAAGTATACCCGATAGTTGCTGCAGCTGTCACTTGGTGTAGGTTGTGGAAAGGGCAGTCCGTACGCTGCTTTTCCGACAACCTGGCAATATGCCACATTATCAATAAGGGTCGCTCTTCCTCCTTGGCGATTATGAGTTTCCTTAGGAAACTGACATGGCTGGCACCTACCCATCAGTTCCACATTGTATGCTCCCATGTTCCCGGCATATACAACACGGCAGCTGACCAACTATCTCACTTTCAATTTCAGGCTTTCAGACTGTCCCTACCCTCGGCAGCTTGTGTGGCAACCCCAGATCCAACTTTCCAAGACCTTATCATGGAGTAGATTAACAACTTCAGCACAGCCACGTTCTCACCAAATTAGCCTTATCCACAAGCACTCAACTTTTCACTTGTACAAACAATTCATGTCTGACCATCACCTAGCCAACTGGTTTGAGGTTTCCTCACTGATAGTTTTTACATCTTTTCGCCACCTTAAATTTAAATTCTCACATAATACTATTAAGCTGTACCTCGGGGGATACAACACCATATGTATTGCTCCTTCCCTAACAACAAAGGGTTCTTAACTTCTTACCCCATCTGAACACTACTGAAAGGCATAGCGAAAGTGGACGGCTCTGCTACACTCAAGAGACTGGCCATTGACATTAAAATGTTCAAATCCTTGTCCGACCTACTCGACCAGGCACCATTTGAACCCCATACAAATGCGGTAATTAAAACCGCCATTTATCTAGCTTTTTATGGGTTTCTTAGACCAAGAGAATTCACCATTAGTGGCCAGCACCATAGCCAAGGGTGCCTCCTCACCTCTTACCTCATAAAACACACAGACTACGAAGTCCTGACCCTACCTAAGACCAAAACAAGTCAGATGGGGGAACCTGTTCACATAACCTACTACCCCACAGGGAACAATTGGTGTCCGGTGAAAGTACTGGACGCTTTCTTAGCCACAACACCAACACGCACCACAAAACCACTACTATTACTACACGATGCAATTCTTACCACAGCAAAATTCATGCTTTATGTCTGTATGCTTATCACCAGACTTGGTCTAAATCCTAGAAACTACTCAGGGCACTCCTTCAGAATCGGAGCGGCCTCCACGACCTCTAGCCAAGACATTCCAGCACACGTGATTAAGACACTGGGTCGCTGGAAGTCCTCGGCTTACGCGACTTACATCCCACACCCAGTCCAAGAGATTAGGAGGGGCTTTCATTAAATGTCTACTTAATATGTAAAAATTTACTATGTTTTCTGAATAAATGTTTTCTCTGATTTATCTCTTTTTGCCCACTTTATTTACCGGCCTACAGCATACATCGGTTTCGGCACACCTCAACAGACTATTTCCTTTTATTTATTTCTCTTCACCAGCGTATTCCATATCCTATGAGAATGCCCCGAACACAAATTGGAAAGCATGGCCTGAAGTTGTGGGAGGGGCTATAGACCTACTTAAGGGACTCCCTCCTTCCCTTACTTACCTTCGTTGGTCTAGACGAACAGGCCCACCCTCCACTCCCATTAGCTATACTTTCCTCTATGTAAGCCCACTTTATTTACCGGCCTACAGCATACATCGGTTTCGGCACACCTCAACCGACTATTTCCTTTTATTTATTTCTCTTCACCAGCGTATTCCATATCCTATGATTTTTTTTACCATAGGTGCTGATATGGTCTTGGAATTCGATTTTGCATATATGCTACCTAAAATGGGAACGGACCTGGGAATTTCAAATTCTAGGCTAAAAAGCAAAACTTCAAAAAGTTTACAACTCACCTCAGCTTGGCTATTTTGGTTTAAATGTGAAATTCCTTGATCAATTGCTGAAAATTCACTCGGGGAAATCCCAAATGGACCATATTTTCCTTTATTTTTCATAGCACTCCTCAGCACAAAATACTGAAGGACAAAGGGAGTTTTTGAAGGTCGAACTACTGTGAAAGTGACAGATCAGGCATAGCGTCACTCAAAAAGGTATTCACAGAGTCACACTTCGGCTGATCCAAAACACAATTACTCTGATATGACAGGGGCTGATTAATATATGACATTAACCTTCCATGTCGCGGTCTTATTGTTATTTATTTCGTATGCTGGAATTGGCTAATTGATCTATCAAATGCCTTTTTTCTCCAGGTAGTGGTGGTATGAGCTAACCTGAGGAGTTTAAGGAGTCACATTCTAGACAAGGTAGAATCTTGCAGAATTATTTATAGTAACTATAGCTCCCTGGAGTTTATAAAGCCTTAGGGAAATGTAACTATGATAAAATGCCAACATTCTTTAGAGCAGGGATGCACATCCATGATTCTACAGCAATTGCAGGACTATATTTCCCAAGATTCTCTGCTAGACAAGCTAGGAGGATTGGCAGTGTAGGATCGCAATTTGGCAATCTTACTCTATAAATATCTGACTCATAACCACCATTGTGATAGAGAATCCTTGAATCGTACAACTGAGTAGCAGAACTAGCAGTGGAGGAAATATTTTAAATTAATCATGTGTAGTACGGGTAGTATAGTTAGTAGGATAATCAAGTATCATGGTTAGTATGACAGCTAGTAGTATAGTGACCAGTTGAGTTGCATTGTTAGAGAAGTACAGTTATACAGCTGATAAGTTCAGTTACGTACTAGAAACAATGTATTAACATTTTATTTATAAAATAATTTACCAGGAAGGACACTTTGAGATTTCTCTCGTTTTCAAGTATGTCCTGGGTTTGTATTTTTGGAATGTCCGTATTTCCAATGGAACAAGGTATCCCTTAGGCTTGTTTGCCCTGTCTGGATGTCCCAGTAGAAATCTTCGAGACACTAGCAATTATATCAATGTTTTGTGTTTACTGGATAGAAGACAGATTCAGCATGTGACAAAGTCCACGATGTTCAATCATGAAGACAGTGGGGCCAACCTGCATTAAACTGCGGTCTAGTGAGACCAGATGTTTTACATCGGATCCCGAGGATAACAAAAAAAAAAAAAATATTAATGCAATGCATTTTTACACATCTACCTGTTAGGCATCTAACATTCTCCTAAAGGCTTTTTAGCATCCAATTGGAATAAAATATATTGAATAATAGCTGGTTAGCAATGGTATCTGCTCCAGCAGGAAGGAAAGAAAAGCAGATGTTGACCTATTTTGACCGGATGTATTCTACATGTAACCGAATGTGATATTCTTTACATTTACGAGATCACATCCTGCACATAAACAGTTAAACCAATGATTCATGCCTATATGTCTACATTCCTACTGTAAACATGATTTTTGTATCTTTACGTACAGTTTAGTCTAGAAGCACATTCTAATGTAAGTGATGCAAGTAACAGCGAATTAAAAGTATCTCCTCACTTTCATTGTGAATGGGATTCAGTGTTCCCTGGTTTTAGAAGATGTCGCGAACCACTGCCTTCAACATGGATGCTGTCCAGGAGGTGGGAGGGTCTGGGAGGGAGGGTCTGCTGGAGATTGGCCGGGACGTGTCAGCTGACTGGAGTTCGCCACGAACGGTTCGTGGCGAACCGTTCGCGACATCTCTACCTGGTTTATATATATGTGTTAATCTAAAAAAAACCACCAAGTTTCCTCTTTTATATGAAGCGCTTACGTACTGCAACTCATCGCCCTATCGGGTTAAAGATTACATCTCCAAGTAAATCCATTTATCAGAGCTAAACTAAGCTTTGTGCGGATGGGAGTTGCAGTCATGTGACTGGTTCAAGAAACACTAACTGCTTAACCTAGCAAAATAACTCCAGGGATGTAAGAAAGTTTAGAGATAAACCATTATATTTGGGAATGTTTTTTTTTTAAACCCAAGCCCATAGTGGTCACTATTAGGCTTTTTATTTATGTTTATATATAGCAATGATACAGACACAAACAATCTAGAGCTTTCTTATATTTCCAAAAGCCAATATTAAGTAAAATCTTAAAGAAACTCTATAGCATAAGGAATATAACAGGAATTCCTTTCACTATAGCTTTCGCCCCCTACCATGTGGCCAGCCACCGGCATGGAAAGGGTTAAAAACTTGTTTTAAGCAATTACCTAACTCCAGTGCTGATCTCCTTCGCACTGGGTCAGTACTTTGACTCCTCTGATGAGTGGGGAGGGGATAATGATCAAGGGCACATTAGCCCTCCCCACAGGAAAGCATTGTTTCAATGCTTTCCTTTGGGGATTTAAGAGACGCTGGACGTCTTCATGCAGAGGGTGAGAACGTCCAACATCAGTTTGGTGACCAAAATTTGCTTAACCAAAAAAGTGCCTCTAGTGGCTGTCTGATTGACAGCCATTAGGGGCGGTCTTAGTCCCGCAATGTAATCAGCTGCAGTTTCTCAAAAACAGCAGTGATTTACATTGTATGACTAAGGGGGGCAGGGACACACTGGACTGTACTGCTTCAATGAGCTGAGGTGGTGTGGGTGCCTAAAGTGTCCCTTTAATAGTGTTCATACCATTGGAATAGTAACAAGGTCAACCGCACTTTAAACTGTGAATGCAACTACATCTAAATGCATCTATTCATCAGACTAAAAGACGGACAGATCTACATCTCTGTATATTGTAATAAGCTAAACTCTGACTTTAGAACGAAGTTCTATTAAACAGACAGGTAATTCCATGCCAATTAAGCCAGTTTTCCCATAATTCACCAGTACAGTAGCACATCTGACTGTTAACATGCAATATGAACCCATGGATGGATAGCTAAACAATGAATTTGTATCAATGTGTATGTTTTACTAGTTTATATGGAATTGTAATAATCGATTCCCCACTGACTTCAGTGTGCACTCAGCTAGCTTATGAGTACTGCTCACTTAAATCGAATACTCATTGCTGACACAGTAGCTCATTGACAACAATCTTTCTTATACCTGAGAGTCATTGGAAAAATACATACCTGCATATTGTGCTTTGTCGGACAGCTGTAGTCATATTAGAGTTTTACTACGGGAATGTTATTTAAATACTAACATAGTTTGCTTTTCCCTCTTTTTCTTATTCTCCCTAGCGTTTCTTAAAAGGGACACTCCACTGGCCAAATACAAAATAAATGCAAATCACTGTTTAGCTTTCATGCACTTTATTATGCATTTGGGGTATATATAAAAACAGAATGCAAAACCTGTAGATCTCGTCTGCAGCGTTTGCAAGCCCTCCCCTTCTAACCCCGCCCAGACTCTCTGTGGCTGTCCAATCAATGAGATGTGATTGGACAGCCACAGAGAGTCTGGGCGGGGTTAGAAGGGGAGGGCTTGCAAACGCTGCAGACAAGAGATCTACAGGTTTTCCCAATTCAGCTCAATGAGATGTCTTTGACGCAGGCACTGTGGGCAGCTGTTGCCTCTTGAATTCAGTGCCATTAAGCTGACCAAACCAGGAAGTAACAGGACCAGTTGTAGTGGGGGGGGGGGGGTAACCAGTATGATTTCTACAAGTGTAAATTTCTATTGAAATCTGCACTATTTCCATGTTACTGTTAAATAAAAATACAATCCTTCAATACCTTCCTTCCCTAATAGCATTGGGGTGTGTTCTGAAAGCTGCTAATCGTAGAGAACTGACAAGATAATAGTCATTTCTAGGCCCACGTAACCAAATTCAAAAATATACTCCAACATAACTGGGGTAACATTTAAAATAAAATCTCTAATTCATCCATAGCCACAATTTAGCAAATTTTGAGTAAATCCCACCATTTAGAAAAAAAAAAATACAAAAATACAAAAAGAAAAATGTTACATATAAAAAAAACTGAGTGAGAAGTAATGATCAGTGTGTTAAAGTGAATATATTCGTATCTTAGACATGTCGTATCGGTGTTAAACTTTATAGACATGAGTGTTTCCCTCTATCTAAATAGCTAGAGCATGTTACTTTCTAAAATGTATCTTTGATGGAAGGGCCCATAGAGAATTCAGAACCATGGACAGCAGCCCAGCAAACTCACTAATTCAGCACCAAACTACAGTGGCTGCATTAAGATTCTATGGCATGCAGGCTCTCAGACTAACTGCCAAGTTCCTTCTTTCACGTTTTACTTTATAACACAGGGTCATACTTTATTCATATTGTTGGAGAGAAGACAATTAACAATAGGTTTAAAAAAAAAAATATATATATATATTGAAAAGGGGATGCAGTAAAAAAGCTGCAGTGCGAAAGGTTTAACCCTTCTGGTACTGTTTATGTGGAGGGGGGTGGTTCAGACAATGTCTGATACATCCCCATAATACATAAATTCTCCAAAATTAGCAATTCATCCTCTCCCTTATTATAAAGGATCGGGGGACTGCCAAGCAGCCCTCTGTTAGAATAGATGTATCCCTGAGCCATAGAGCCAGAAACGCTAATTGTGGGGTAACCTACATTTCCTATATCAGGGATAGCCAACCTCTGGCACTCCAGATGTTGTGGACTACATCCCCCATAATGCTCTTACACCCACAATGCTGGCAAAGCATCATAGGAGGTGTAGTCCAAAACATCTGGAGTGCCGAAGGTTGTCTATGCCTGTCCTATATAATTTGGGAATTCCAAGCCTTAATGAACAATTACACTAATTACACTGTTTACAAACAACATTTAATAATAGCATTGTTTACAAACAATACGATTGCTTATTATCTTGTTTATGTCTATTGCGTTTGTTTGATCGTCTATTATTTTATCGTATCACCTTGAATTAAAAGCAGAAAGAGATGGGAGACCTCTCGGAGGTTGTGAGTTTAGGATTTGTGGACTACAAGGCCCATCAAGTAATGCAAGGACACCACTGCAGATATCAGTAAGCCTGCATCCGTGCTAGTTAGTTATGATTTCGGTATTTGCGTTTCATGTAACCTGGCACTGGCGGTGTAGGAGAATGTACAAATAAATAATTATAGAAGAAATCAGGTCTGGAGCCAAGATGCTCTATTGTAATGTGTTTCTGCTAAAGCCCATCTCTCCCTTGTGGCCACTGACCCACATCAAACCCTCCTCCTCCTCCTCATCACAGAGCTGACTGTAATCCAGGTACTGTGTAGGCAAACCAGATGGGAGGCTGTGGCATCATGGGCTAGGCCTCGCCGGCCCCTTCACCCCCCATCCCCATTATAGATCTATTAACTCTGATCACTAGAAGGTAATGAATCCCCAATCTGAGCAATTAGCCTAGACAGACCAGATCAGCTTTAAGAGACTTACACCCCCTCCCCCAATTAAAAACAACTCTTTGTATGATAATCAAATAATCAGAGGAATGGTATTCTCTTGTTTTTAAGCCATGTACCATTTATACACCTGATTGTAATGTTCCAACAGAAAACAGAAACACAATCACACCCCACATAGAGACATTCCAAGCCATGTGCCCATATTATCACACCCTGCAGCTATACAGATCATTCCTTGTTGCAGAGAATATTACATATTAACACACACCACATTGCATCATTAGAACCCTTGCAGCCATGACATTCAATACTCCAGTGCCAGAATGGATGTTCATTCCCCACAACCCTCCCAAAAACCAACTTTATCACCTCAACCCCATTGATAACAGTCAATATATAGAAGGGATACATTAATATACAATGAATGAGAAGACACACACAGTATATTACATATCCGTACACTCCCCAAATTATACAATATATAGACTGCATTATATTATTACATGTGTTTATATACAGTTTATATCTTATTCATATTATCCTAATCTTCACATTACAGATATATGGTGTTGGAGGTTACCTCCTCTCCCCCCCTTCCCCATTTTATTGTTGTTATCATATGGTGCTAAATTGACCCCCCCAAAAAAATTTTTTTTTATCTTAATTGTTATTATTGACCCATTATTTTTGTTAATATTATAGGTAGCTAATCAGGTGTTCCTACTTATTACTATTAACAGGACTGTATACAGGTGAACCCCATCCTTTCTAGTATAATACAGGGCTATACAGGTGACCCCTTATAATGATTACATGGTGCTAGCCAGGTGACCCCTTGTAGTAGTAGTAATAATAATAATCTGCTTACCAGGCGACACCTTATTATATGTTGCAATATACAGGTGCTCCCCTATTATAATAGTGCACACTCCTCTCCCCATATTATTATAATAGTGTACCCCTCACCCATTATAATTATTATTATGGTGTACCCCTCTCCCACTATTATAATACTGTACCCCTGTCCCTTCTATTATTTTAATATAATAATACTGAACAGCCTCTGCCCCGTAACTATTATACTGTACCCCCTCTCCCCCACAACTATTAAACTGTACCCCTCTCTCCCCCTAACATTATAATACTGTGCCCCTTTTCCCCCTATTTTTAATACACTGAACCCCTCCCTCTATTATTATAATACTGTACCCAATCTCTCCCTATTATACTGTGCCACCTCTGCCCCTATTTTTTTAATAATGTACCCCTTCTTCCCCTCTATTATATTGTACCCTCTCCCTTATTATTATTATTATTACAGTGTACTACCTCCCCATTATTATTATAATGTACCTCTTTTCTCCCCTATTACATTGTACCCCTCTCCCTCTTATTATTACAGTGTACCCCTCTGCCCGCTATTATAATAATCTGCCTCCTCCCCCTATTACTACACTCTACCCTCTCCCCCTATTATTATTACACTTTACCCTCTCCCCCTATTATTACACTGTACCCACTCTTCCTTCTAATTATTATAATGTACCACCTCTTCCCCTATTATTATGCTGTACCCTTCTCCCCCTATTATTATTATTATGTACCCCCTTCTCCCTCATTATTCTTACAATGTACCCCTCTCCCCTATTATTATTATTATTATTATTATTATATTGTATACCCTCTCCCCCCTATTAATATTATCATCATTATATTGTACCCGCTCTCCCCCTACTATTATCATTATTATATTGTACCCCCTCTCTCCCTATTAATATTATCATTATTATATTGTACCCCTCTCCCCCTATTAATATTATCATTATATTGTACTCCTCTCCCCCTATTAATATTATTTTATTGTACCACCTCTTCCCCTATCATTATACTGTACCCCCACTCCCCCCTACTATACAGTACCCCAATATTACACTGTACCCGCTCTCCCCCTACTATCATTATTATATTGTACCCTCTCCCCCTATTACACTGTACCACCTCTCCCCTATTATTTTATTGTACCCCTCTCCCCCTATTAATATCATTACACTGTACCCCCTCTCCCCCTATTAATATCATAATGTACCCCCTCTCCCCCTATTATTATTACACTGTACCCCCTCTCCCCTATTAATATTATTATTTTATTGTACACCTCTCCCCCTATTAATATTATGATATTGTACCCCCTATTAATATTATCATTATTATAATGTACCCCCTCTCCCCCCTATTAATATTACATTGTACCCCCTCTCCCCCTATAAATATTATAATGTACCCCCCCTCCCCCGTTACCTCTGGCTATTAACCCCTCGGTGTCCGTGTCGAAGCCCTCCCGGTGACATTTCCTCCACAGCCCGGACACGGTGGAGTTGAAGCGGCGGGAGCAGTCCATGGCGAGGTAGGGGCGGAGTGGGGGGATCTCTCGGCCCCCCCGGGCAGGTATGAGGGGGTCCCCCACCCTGGAGATGAGGCGGACCCCCCTTGGCGTGAGCTCCCCGCCCCTGGGGGCCCGGCTCCTGGGGGCCCCCCGCAGCGGGAGGTGCTGGCCCGGGGTGTACATGTATCCGGGGTCGTTCCGTTTGCCGCCCGGTTTCCAGCATCGCTCCCGGTGTCTCCGGGCGTCCGTCTCGTACCAGTGATCGGTGCACAGAGCCACCGCCAGCAGGGCCAGCGCGGCCATCGCCAGGCACAGCCCGGCCCCGGCCAGCAACCGCATCCCCCCGGGCAGGACACCGACACCGGCTCCGGTACCGGCCACAATCACTGCCCCAACACCGGCCGCAGCGGCAACAGCCTCCACCGCTCTGTATCACTGCAGCCGGGAGAATGGGAGACCGGGGCGGAGCCTGGACAGCCAGCCCTGACACTGGGATACAATGTAACAATCTAATATATACAGCCCTGACACTGGGATACAATGTAACATTCTAATATATACAGCCCTGACACTGGGATACAATGTAACAATCTAATATATACAGCCCTGACACTGGGATACAATGTAACAATCTAATATATACAGCCCTGACACTGGGATACAATGTAACATTATAATATATACAGCCCTGACACTGGGATACAATGTAACATTATAATATATACAGCCCTGACACTGGGATACAATGTAACACTCTAATATATACAGCCCTGACACTGGGATACAATGTAACAATCTAATATATACAGCCCTGACACTGGGATACAATGTAACAATCTAATATATACAGCCCTGACACTGGGATACAATGTAACAATCTAATATATACAGCCCTGACACTGGGATACAATGTAACAATCTAATATATACAGCCCTGACACTGGGATACAATGTAACACTCTAATATATACAGCCCTGACACTGGGATACAATGTAACATTATAATATATACAGCCCTGACACTGGGATACAATGTAACAATCTAATATATACAGCCCTGACACTGGGATACAATGTAACAATCTAATATATACAGCCCTGACACTGGGATACAATGTAACAATCTAATATATACAGCCCTGACACTGGGATACAATGTAACATTCTAATATATACAGCCCTGACACTGGGATACAATGTAACAATCTAATATATACAGCCCTGACACTGGGATACAATGTAACAATCTAATATATACAGCCCTGACACTGGGATACAATGTAACAATCTAATATATACAGCCCTGACACTGGGATACAATGTAACACTCTAATATATACAGCCCTGACACTGGGATACAATGTAACACTCTATATATTCAGCCCTGACACTGGGATACAATGTAACAATCTAATATATACAGCCCTGACACTGGGATACAATGTAACAATCTAATGTATACAGCCCTGACACTGGGATACAATGTAACACTCTAATATATACAGCCCTGACACTGGGATACAATGTAACATTCTAAAATATACAGCCCTGACACTGGGATACAATGTAACAATCTAATATATACAGCCCTGACACTGGGATACAATGTAACACTATAATATATACAGCCCTGACACTGGGATACAATGTAACATTCTAATATATACAGCCCTGACACTGGGATACAATGTAACACTCTAATATATACAGCCCTGACACTGGGATACAATGTAACAATCTAATATATACAGCCCTGACACTGGGATACAATGTAACATTCTAATATATACAGCCCTGACACTGGGATACAATGTAACATTCTAATATATACAGCCCTGACACTGGGATACAATGTAACAATCTAATATATACAGCCCTGACACTGGGATACAATGTAACAATCTAATATATACAGCCCTGACACTGGGATACAATGTAACACTCTAATATATACAGCCCTGACACTGGGATACAATGTAACATTCTAATATATACAGCCCTGACACTGGGATACAATGTAACAATCTAATATATACAGCCCTGACACTGGGATACAATGTAACAATCTAATATATACAGCCCTGACACTGGGATACAATGTAACAATCTAATATATACAGCCCTGACACTGGGATACAATGTAACACTCTAATATATACAGCCCTGACACTGGGATACAATGTAACAATCTAATATATACAGCCCTGACACTGGGATACAATGTAACAATCTAATATATACAGCCCTGACACTGGGATACAATGTAACAATCTAATATATACAGCCCTGACACTGGGATACAATGTAACAATCTAATATATACAGCCCTGACACTGGGATACAATGTAACATTCTAATATATACAGCCCTGACACTGGGATACAATGTAACAATCTAATATATACAGCCCTGACACTGGGATACAATGTAACAATCTAATATATACAGCCCTGACACTGGGATACAATGTAACAATCTAATATATACAGCCCTGACACTGGGATACAATGTAACAATCTAATATATACAGCCCTGACACTGGGATACAATGTAACAATCTAATATATACAGCCCTGACACTGGGATACAATGTAACAATCTAATATATACAGCCCTGACACTGGGATACAATGTAACATTCTAATATATACAGCCCTGACACTGGGATACAATGTAACAATCTAATATATACAGCCCTGACACTGGGATACAATGTAACAATCTAATATATACAGCCCTGACACTGGGATACAATGTAACATTCTAATATATACAGCCCTGACACTGGGATACAATGTAACAATCTAATATATACAGCCCTGACACTGGGATACAATGTAACATTCTAATATATACAGCCCTGACACTGGGATACAATGTAACAATCTAATATATACAGCCCTGACACTGGGATACATTGTAACACTCTAATATATACAGCCCTGACACTGGGATACAATGTAACATCTAATATATACAGCCCTGACACTGGGATACAATGTAACATTCTAATATATACAGCCCTGACACTGGGATACAATGTAACAATCTAATATATACAGCCCTGACACTGGGATACAATGTAACAATCTAATATATACAGCCCTGACACTGGGATACAATGTAACAATCTAATATATACAGCCCTGACACTGGGATACAATGTAACAATCTAATATATACAGCCCTGACACTGGGATACAATGTAACATTCTAATATATACAGCCCTGACACTGGGATACAATGTAACAATCTAATATATACAGCCCTGACACTGGGATACAATGTAACAATCTAATATATACAGCCCTGACACTGGGATACAATGTAACAATCTAATATATACAGCCCTGACACTGGGATACAATGTAACAATCTAATATATACAGCCCTGACACTGGGATACAATGTAACAATCTAATATATACAGCCCTGACACTGGGATACAATGTAACACTCTAATATATACAGCCCTGACACTGGGATACAATGTAACAATCTAATATATACAGCCCTGACACTGGGATACAATGTAACATTCTAATATATACAGCCCTGACACTGGGATACAATGTAACAATCTAATATATACAGCCCTGACACTGGGATACAATGTAACAATCTAATATATACAGCCCTGACACTGGGATACAATGTAACAATCTAATATATACAGCCCTGACACTGGGATACAATGTAACAATCTAATATATACAGCCCTGACACTGGGATACAATGTAACAATCTAATGTATACAGCCCTGACACTGGGATACAATGTAACAATCTAATGTATACAGCCCTGACACTGGGATACAATGTAACAATCTAATGTATACAGCCCTGACACTGGGATACAATGTAACAATCTAATGTATACAGCCCTGACACTGGGATACAATGTAACAATCTAATATATACAGCCCTGACACTGGGATACAATGTAACAATCTAATGTATACAGCCCTGACACTGGGATACAATGTAACAATCTAATATATACAGCCCTGACACTGGGATACAATGTAACAATCTAATATATACAGCCCTGACACTGGGATACAATGTAACAATCTAATATATACAGCCCTGACACTGGGATACAATGTAACAATCTAATATATACAGCCCTGACACTGGGATACAATGTAACAATCTAATATATACAGCCCTGACACTGGGATACAATGTAACAATCTAATGTATACAGCCCTGACACTGGGATACAATGTAACAATCTAATGTATACAGCCCTGACACTGGGATACAATGTAACAATCTAATATATACAGCCCTGACACTGGGATACAATGTAACAATCTAATGTATACAGCCCTGACACTGGGATACATTGTAACAATCTAATATATACAGCCCTGACTCTGGGATACAATGTAACAATCTAATATATACAGCCCTGACACTGGGATACAATGTAACAATAATATATACAGCCCTGACACTGGGATACAATGTAACATTATAATATATACAGCCCTGACACTGGGATACAATGTAACATTCTAATATATACAGCCCTGACACTGGGATACAATGTAACATTATAATATATACAGCGACACTGGGATACAATGTAACAATCTAATGTATACAGCCCTGACACTGGGATACATTGTAACACTTTAATATATACAGCCCTGACACTGGGATACAATGTAACACTAATGTATATGACACTGGGATACATTGTAACAATCTAATATATACAGCCCTGACACTGGGATACAATGTAACAATCTAATATATACAGCCCTGACACTGGGATACAATGTAACAATCTAATATATACTGCTATTAAATGTTTGCTCAGTTTCCAAGACCTGTGCGGCGTCATCGAGATGGATTTAGACACATGTAAGAGCATTGGAGCATGGTCAGACCAGTGGATACGTAGAATGTTGGATTAAGTGACAACAGTCATGGTGTACTCATCAGCTAAGAACCTGTCAATTCTAGAATACACATTATATAAAATGGTGTAATAAGTGAAGTCCTTCTCACCGCTGTGTAATAATCTCCAGGAATCATATAACCCCCTGGGTAAAAATATATTTGGAGCACAAGTTAGCCAATTTATCTGTTGCGCTCGACTTGGATAGACTTATCTTTTCCCTAGTGGTGTCCAGACTGTAATCTAAAACAAAATTGTTGTCCCCACAAATAATGAGCTTTCCTTTGCTTATAGTCTTATCAGTATGATTAGCTCTAACTTCCATAAACAATATTCTCTTGTGCAGTGCATTTAGATCTCCAACATTAAAAGATAAAAATGTTAGCACCATTTAAGTTAATCTATAACTTTGTTTAAAAAAAACCCAAAAAACCGTGGCAAATAAACCGATCCATACCATTGAGGTACAAAACAGACTGCATAAGAAAGAGAGTTTAAATAAAATGATGTCATCAGGAAGTAGAGCTGGATTGGATCTCACACACCTGCAAAGCAAATCATAAATACAATACATTCACTGGTAGTGGTAAATAT